TCTCGTCATCGTCCAGTAACAATCGACATTCTTTGTTCCGTTGGGACTGTAGCTTTTGCTCGTTTTCGTTGCGCTTGCCTTCCCCTCTTTGGTCTTTCCATAACCTTGAACCTTCCAAGTTGGAAGGCTGTCGGTTAGCGCTACGGAGATGTGTTGAAGCTAGGTGTCAGGACGTCGAATGTCTCAGTACTCTTGTCAGTTTTGTGCCTAGTTATTGCACTTTCTGACTGTATAATTATAGTATCCAGTTACAGTGATGGAGAGTTACTCTTAACTCGTAACCTTATGTCCTTTTCCTTTCTACATAAATAAAATAAAATAAAATAATTATTATTATATGCGATGTAGGCCTTGGCGGATAATGCTCGAAAAGGTGGCAGATTCTGCTTTTTTTGCACCGAAATTGGCAGAACCATACAAACCTTATGGCGGGCAATTCCTCGAATTCTGCTCCATTTCTTTATCCACATACCAAACATGCATGAAACTTACCAGAAAAAAGTACCGAATTCTGCCAATTTTTCTGCCGGCATTATCCGCCAAGCCCTAATGCGATGCGCTCCTTGTCATCAACAAAGAGCAGACCCGGCCTATTTGCTGACAGATTCAGGTCAGTTGGGACCGAATACTCCCGGATACCGATCACTTTTAACCAATGCCTTGAGCTGGTGGTCGAACCGTTACGCACCAGTAGGCAGACCCCGTGCTCTACACATTTCGAAGTGCACATACTTGACTATCCGGTTTTGACGTTCGATGTAACTGGTCCGAGCAAGAACTGGGCAGGCACTGACAATATGGTCAATTGTTTCTAGGCAGCTCTTGCAAAGCCTGCAACTGGCATCAGTTCAAGCAATTGACTTCATTATGGCGTATTGGTAATTTTTAGTTTTGAGGGATTGGTCTTGTGCTGCCATAATCAAGCCTTCAGTTGAAGGTTTCAGTATCCCTGGTGATGCTTGTGCCTGGCTGGAGAGCACTATATAAGTGGTGCTCTTCAGGCACAATCTTCCTCAGCCTACTCAAGCCCAACTGATGAGGGGTGAATTCCCCGAAACGCTGTGTACTGAGCAGGGAGTGGTGCTTTCTTGCAGGTTTGCCGAGTGGACGGTTCGATGGACTTCTCGTGTGCTCCGGATGGCAGTCGTGAGTCAGTCCAGTGAGAATTCAAGTCGGCAGGAAAAACGCAAGCTCCCACGGAGGGAGCAACACACAATTCCCCAATATTATATTTATAGAAAAGAAAAAGGACCAAGGAACTACAAGTTACGCTAAACTGTTCACTAACACCACTAGTTACTAAACAATCAGCTCATGCGATAACATTTCACGACACTGACCGACGGTACTGACGTTCTACAACTAACTGGCTATCAGCTCTAGCACGCCTTGGATGTGCCAACGTCCTTCACAGCTGAGACGTTCAGCTCGCGCTTGTCTTGGTTGCGGTCACCTTCCCCTCTTATATTATCATACAACTTAGAGCCTTCCAAGTTGGAAGGCTATTGGAGTGGGCATCCAAGACGTGCTAGAGCTGATAGCCAGTTAGTTGTAGAACGTCAGTACCGTCGGTCAGTGTCGTGCAGTGTTATCGCATGAGGTGATTGTTTAGTAACTGGTGCTGTTAGTGGACATTATAGCGTAACTTGTAGTTCCATGGTCCTTTTTCTTTTCTACAAATTCATCCTTGGCTTTCCATCCGAGTCCATTAGAATTACTTCAAGTATAATTATTATTGTACTAACTTAGAAGAAAAAACTAACTTAGAAGTTGCGACTTCCGCGGTCTTAGTGATGAAATAGTTGGTTGCTCCTACGAGGAACACACGCTTCCTGCCGAACTTTACACTTGACTGACTCAGGACTGCCATCTGGAGAACACGAGGAGCACGTCGCACCTTCCACTGTACTCGGCAAACCTGAAAGAAAGCACCACTGAGACTCCCTGCACCACTCCCTACACAGTGTGTTGCGAGGAATCCACCCTCCATCAGTTGAGCTTGAGTAGGCTGAGAAAAAATGAGTAGGTTTCGGAAGATGGTGTGCTTCGGATGGCAGTCGTGAGTCAGTCAAGTGTCAAGTTCGGCAGGAAACGTGTGTTCCTCATTGGAGCAACCGACTACTTCGTAATACTTTTAATAAAATATTGTCTAAAATAAAGTCTAAAATAAAATAAATGCATGTAGCGAGATTTACTGTGACACGATCGTTGTACAGTGCTGGCAACTGAAATCCGACCCCTGAGCAGTGCGCTCTAGCCCTTTGGCCCCTTTCCCAAAGGTGCTCGCCCTTTTTTTCGCCCTTTTTGGAAAAGCCCGTTTCTTTCGCCCTTTATTGCGTTTTTTGGTGAATATCGCCCTTTTTGAGCTTTTTTTAGCTGAAAAAGTGCTAAAATCTGTTTGCTCAATGTGACAGATGCTACCACAACGAGCACCCTGACTGATTTCACCTTAGTAAATGCGGAGACAGTTATGGACATACTGACCAATCTTAACTCCTACAAGTCTGCTGGTTCGGATGGCATTCTTCCATGCATGTTTAAGTCATGTAAGGCGTCCATTGCCGCCCCGCTAGCGTCAATTATCAACCAGTGTCTCCTCTCGGGTGTGTTTCCTACAGCGTACAAGCACGCACATGTCTGTCCTCTATTCAAATCCGGAGACACACTGTCAGCTACAAACTACCGTCCCATATCTCTGTTGCCACTTGCCTCCAAGGTATTGGAGAAAATCGTTCATCGACAGGTTGTGGAGTTCTTTAGTGATCACAATGAGCTTTCTGCCCTTCCACCGGAACAGTTTGCATATCGCTCCAACCACAGCTGTGAGGATGCCCTTGCTCTCTGCATTGATAGATGGAACCGAGCATTGGACGATGGTCAACGATGCGCAATAGTGTTTGCAGACATGAGTAAGGCATTTGACCGCGTTCAACATCAGCAGTTAGTCCATGATGATGTTGGATTACGGGGCACTGTATTGCAGTGGTTTGCAGATTATCTGTCACGCCGCAGTCAACAAGTAATAGTCAATGGCGAGCATGGTGAGACTGTGCCTTGTACCAGGGGCGTCCCGCAAGGGTCGGTCCTGGGTCCCCTGCTCTTTTGCATTTATATTCGCAAGGTGCCGGAAATTCTCAAGCTCAGCATGTCACAACTCTATGCTGATGACATTGCCTTCTTCATCATCGGACTGGACCTTCCTGCTATGTTACAGGATCTCCAGGACGATCTAACTGCCCTGGAGGTCCATTTAGATCTGAAGGGGCTCATCATGAACCCCGACAAGACGCAATTTCTAATCCTGCAGCGGTCACGGCTGCCAGCAGCGCAGTTGCCACAGCCCTTGACCTGTCAAGGAAAGGCTATTACCCCTACGAGCACTGCCAAATACCTTGGTTTATTGATAGACGAGCATCTCACCTTCCAGCCACAGGTCCATAAATTGTGTAACTCGGTTTTTGCTAAAGTTGCTGCTTTCCGACATGCCCGTAGAAATTTAACAAACGATGCAAAGCGAACATTCTACTTGTCTATTATTCAGTCTACCCTAGACTATGCCAGTAATGCTTACCTACATTGTCTAAGCACAGCTCTGTACAATAGGATTGTGACCGTTAGTCACATAGCAATGAAGAGAGTGTTTGGACTCGATCGTACCACGCCCACTGAACTAGTTCTTCGCTTATATCCCCTCTATTCTTTGGAACAGCGTATTAGCCTCAAGCTCTATGTTTTTGTGTACCACTGCTTGGCCCAGCATCTTGCTAGTCCTCTTCTTCAGTCTTTGTACCAGCTTCGGGCAACTGCACCTGGTCACCAGGCATGCACCCGGGGCAAGGCACAAAGAGCCTTAGTTCTCCCACTCGTTTATACGCAGTATGGCATGCGCTCTATTTCTTTTCTGGCGGCAGGCAGGTGGTCTCTTCCAGCTGACTGTCGACAGGCCCACTCTCTTGCTCTGTTCATTAATATGGTTAAACTTCACCTAGGGTTTCCAGTAAAAAGGCAGTAGCCTGTTGGGACTCCCCTAGTAAAATAATAAAAACTACTACTACTACTACTACATGCATGCGATGACAGTTTCCGAGTGCTCGATATGGGCCTTGGGAAGTCGGCACGCCGCATTTTTGGGGGCAACACGTTGGTGAAGCTTGCATGTACACAATGCTGTAAAAAGTGGGTTTTTTGAACTTTACTTCCTGTTTTGCCTTTCGTGGACCCATAAATGGAAGAGTGCGTATTCATTTCTCAGCTTGGGCTCATAGCTAGCTGGACATGTATCATGGCTATGCTTCACAGAAAAAAGAGCACTTTTTGCCTGTTTTCACCGAAAAAAGAGCACTTTTTGCCTGTTTTCACCAAAAAAAGAGCACTTTTTCGGCATATTTTGAGGGACGCGAAAAGCACTAAGTGCGAATTAAAAAAGCACCTTTGGCCAGTTTGGGAAAGGGCTAGTGCGCTCACATCGCTAAGACCCAACACGGGATGGTAAAACTACGAAACAGAGACCGCTAGAATGTGAACCCACCGCTCAGGGGGTCGGATTTCAGTTGCCGGCACTGTAGGTGTGTGTACAGGATGTATGGATTCAAGTATTGGCACTGTACATGTAAATTAAAACGTAATATACATGTCCGCTGCCACTAATGCCATATCAATGATCATTATCAGTAATGCCTGCTGGCGCCAGGTCAGAATAATGCGTCAGTCATGATTCACGACGCGCATACGCTGCAAAATGACTGCGTGAACGGACTACGCATCTGGCAGGCGTCGGAACTGGAAATGATGACGCTGATCGCCGTCTGAAGACTGAACGTCTTGGTAGCAGCACGCAGAACAGAGGCTGCGGGCAGCTTCTGAGTTTGCCTCGCACCGACGACGTCTGATGAGTGATGTTTTCCTTGACGTTCTGTCCCCCGTAGCGCGCGGGATAAACGACCATTACATGTAGATGTACATGTACATGACTGTATTTGCCAGACTTGATCAGTGGTGTGCAGTGGCAGCAGTGCGTTTCAGTTTTGTGTATTTCCCCAGCGGTAATCGCTGCAGGTGGGGAGAGATCACGTCCGTCACCGTCCCAGCTACAACAAGCACATGCGAACCGTTTTGCAACGAACGCTTACGGACATGTTCACGTAATGTCTTCTCTGCAGATCTGCGCTAGCCTAGCATGCTGCTGGCAGTCCTCGCCGTGACCAGTGAGCCTCTGAGAGTGTGTACCACCTAGCTCATGCCAGACCAGTGTGACGTTCAAGCTAGGCACCGAGCCGTGAGCACTGTGGCAAGGAAGAGACTGCCATTCGTCACTATCGAAAGAAGCAATTGCCGAGAGCTAGATGCCACTGGAAGGCCAAGATTGTGGAGCTGCAAGCAACTGGAACACTCGAGTACTCTGCAGTGCTTGTTAGCGTTACTCTGGACTTGGTACGTGCTGGTGAGCAAGGCAGCAATGAGACTGAGAGCTGGAATATCAGTATGATACATGTGCCAGTATGGTAGAGGCTCCCTGACTTCTTACTCTTACTTCTTAGTGATAGCAGTGCTGCTGGGTGCCGGACTGTGAGTGTGACCAAGTCGTCCTTGTGAGCACTCGTCTACAGTACAGGTGGATCGACCAGCAGATGTACATGTATGTGACGGCTCCCGGCTGATGCGGTGTGTGGTTCTCCTGTGCTTGAACATCTGCCTAGGTAAGCTGCTGCACGATTGCACACTGACCCACCCAATCCCTGGCCTTACATGTAGCCAGGGCGAGAAACCTCCCAGGATTTTAGTTGAAATCCCTGGATGCAACACAGATGAAGAAAATAAAGGCTCTTTGTCCTGATTCCTGAATATAAAGCAATTGGCGGTCCAGGACAAAATGATTTCAGCGAGAGCATGACCAGGATCTACGAGTAGGAATGGTGGGACGCACTCATATTGCAAATCCAGCACTCTTGCAGGGCTTTCAAAAGAAAGCATTACGCCACATCATTTTTTTACGTGAAACCACAAACCCAAAGAACAGAATACAATGTACTTCATAGTAGAGGTGGCTGCAGTCGACTACAAATGTATAGTAGCCGTTGTGGTGGTGAAACTGGAGTATCTCCGTACACTCAGTGACTGTATATTCCCAGGCTGCACCTGCATCCACAGAACTGGCTGCTGACTTTCATATCTGGGGGGGGGGGGGGGGGGGGGCCGTGGGGGTGAAGACTGGTCATAACTCGACTGCCATCCAGTGCTCACGAGACTTCCACCAAACCGTCCACTCGGCAAACCTGCAAGAAAGCACCACACCCTGCTCAGTGTTTCGGGGAACCCTTCATAGACAGTTGAGCTTTTTTATTTTATTTTTTTTATTTTACTAGAGCCACGTTAACCCGTCATGTGTGAGCCATGAATAAGGGGAGTGGTGGCGTGGTCTGGGATGCTCTGCCGACCTTGGGTGTCAGCTTCATCACAACCAGGCGCGCCAATACTCAATTTGCCAATAGCAGAGAGAGACTTGAGTAGGCTGAGGAAAATTGTGCCCGAAGAGCACCACATATGTAGTGCTGTCCAGGCGCAAACATCACCAGGCAGGGATACAAACTTACAGAGACGCTCCGTTTCCAGCGCGACAAACACCTCGTGAACACCAGAAAGCAGCGTGAGTCAGTGTCGCTCATGGAGGTGCTGGACAAGCGCTGAGGACCGTTGGCCACTGACATGATTCACAGCGTTGTTGCCTCCACACCATCTAGTTCGCAAGCCCGCGGTGGGTACAACAATGTGAAGAAGAGGTTGGTGCGACTTCGGCGATACTTGGGGAATTGTGGGTTGCTCCCTACTGTACACATGTACATGTGAGCTCGCGGTTTTTCTGCCGACTTGAATTCTCACTTGACGGACTCACTACTGCCATTCAGAGCACAGGAGAAGTCCCTCGAGCTCAACTGAATGTGATCAGGGGTGAATTCACCGAAGCACCGTGTGCAGGGAGTGGTGCTTTCTTGCAGGTTTGCCGAGTGGGCGGTTCGATGGACTTCTGGTGTGCTCTGGATGGCAGGCGTGACTCGTGAGCCAGTCAAGTGAGAATTCAAGTCGCCAGGAAAACCGCGAGCTCCCATGTAGAGGGGACGGTTTCAAATAGGACATAGGTTGCAAACCTATTCACTTTCTCTCTTGGTATTTTGATTAGAAAACATATGTCACAGTGAGACTACGATGTGTTATACTCCGAGCCAAAATGTCATGGCTCTGCGATGACCAGAAGCGCCATATCAAGCAGGTGAGTTTTTGACGTGTTGCTTCGCACTGCGACTTGAGTTTTACGACTTTCGAAAAATCAACTTCTTGTCGCAGGTAAACAGCGGCTCGCCTCTCGCCAATAAAGCACCGCATACCAATCAAAACTAATGGAAGCACACACAAGGCTTATTGTTACTCTGTACTGGCCGTCGTGGAGCGATAGCAATTACCTAATTTCAGACCCAGAGTGAATTTGACGTGCACTCTAAAACGTGTCCGGTTTGGAGCCACCTCTGATTTGAACTTTTTTGAAGCGAAAAATTGGGCAACTAACGTGTTACTTGGAGGCAATGGGTCAACACAAAGGAGTGGCTCAGTTCGATTGACTCTGGCCCCAGAGCAAACTTCAACATGCCAGTTTCCTTCCACAAACATATTTCGAGTGAAAAATCAACGCTGATGATCGGTTTGGGTCTATACAAATTTGGCTGTCAAAGCGTCCCGGTATCGAGCCGTCCCCTCTACATGTAGGGAGCAACACACAATTCCCCATTTATAATAATTATTATAATGCTATCATTATCCGCTGGGGCGCACCCCCCCCCCCCCTCTACTCTGATTGAGCGCCCCCCCCCCCCCTCCCCTACTCATTTGTCGATGTGTGTGTCTTTTCATGCCATTTTGTGTGGGTGAAGTCGGGGGCTCGCCCCGGAACGTAACGTTGCATTTGGCATGGCAAGACACTTTACCCCCCCCCCCCCCCCCCCCCCCCCCTACTAGTTTTACCTGGTTAGAATGTGATCAGTAAGAATCTGTCGGAAGAAGCCGTCTGAAAACGCAGCTGAAGCCGTGAAGGCTAGCTAGCTGTGAAGCCGTGAACCATGTGAACATGGACCTGTCCTGGTAGTGGTAGAGGCGACGGTTTCAAATAGGAAATAGGTTGCAAACCGGAACGGACTCAATATTCACTTTCTCTCTTGGTATTTTGATTAGAAAACATATGTCACAGTGAGACTACGATGTGTTATACTCCGAGCCAAAATTTCATGGCTCTGCGATGACCAGAAGCGCCATATCAAGCAGGTGAGTTTTTGACGTGTTGCTTCGCACTGCGACTTGAGTTTTACGACTTTCGAAAAATCAACTTCTTGTCGCAGGTAAACAGCGGCTCGCCTCTCGACAATAAAGCACCGCATACCAATCAAAACTAATGGAAGCACACACAAGGCTTATTGTTACTCTGTACTGGCCGTCGTGGAGCGATAGCAATTACCTAATTTCAGACCCAGAGTGAATTTGACGGGCACTCTAAAACGTGTCCGGTTTGGAGCCACCTCTGATTTGAACTTTTTTGAAGCGAAAAATTGGGCAACTTGGAGGCAATGGGTCAACACAAAGGAGTGGCTCAGTTCGATTGACTCTGGCCCCAGAGCAAACTTCAACATGCCAGTTTCCTTCCACAAACATATTTCGAGTGAAAAATCAACGTTGATGATCGTTTTGGGTCTATACAAATTTGGCTGTCAAAACGTTCTGGTATCGAGCCGTCTCCTCTACCAACTACCATGGTGAAGGTCGGACAGAATCAAGGAGTAGTAAAGTACTGGTATTTTACTACTGAATGGTCGGAACTGTCTCTTCGAAGTAGTTCGACACTACAAAAAAAAAGTCTTGACATGACTTGAGTCTTGACAGATGGCGGAGAGTTAGAGCCACGTGCAGTGATTTCCCGCGCTGAAAATAATTGAAATCAGAAGTACCAAAACACCGAGTGATTTTACTGTTTAGAAGCGTCTTCCGACCGGCCGTAGACCCGCTCTCCGCTCGCTTCGCTGACTACCAACATTGCGTTGTGGCGGGTGGTAAGAGCCTGGCCTGGGTCTGGCATAACATAATCATTGCCGCAAACGTTTGCAGCTAGCCCAAGAAACTGCTGGCCATTCAGTTTCGCGAGAATTAAATTCCGGACCCGAAATCAGCACTAGCATCGCGTCGTTATCTCCAGTTTCTCAGTGCAGGCAATTATCTTCTAGCGATGGCGGTGAACAGGGAGAGAGCAAGCGGCGTAACCGTGGTACTGGGAGCTCAGTGGGGCGACGAAGGCAAAGGTAAGCTGGTGGACATGCTGGCTGAAGAGGCGCAGGCGGTGTGTAGGTGCCAAGGCGGTAACAACGCCGGACACACGGTCATCGTCGGCGAAGCCAAGTACGATTTCCATTTGCTGCCCAGCGGCATAGTGCGCGAGGACTGTGTGTCCATCATCGGCAATGGAGTGGTGGTCCACGTTCCAGGACTGTTCGCTGAGATAGAGAAGAACGTAGAGAAGGGTCTGCGAGGCTGGGAGAAACGCTTGCGCGTCTCCACTCGTGCGCATCTGGTGTTCGATTTCCACCAAGAGATGGACGGCCTGCAGGAGGAAGAGAAGGGGAAAGGCAGCATTGGCACGACGAAGAAGGGCATTGGCCCGTGCTATGCATCCAAGGCTAACAGGATAGGCCTGCGTGTTGGCGACTTGGTGGGTGACTATGACGATTTCTCACGGCGTCTTCGGCAACTGTTTGCGGCGTGCACAATACGCTTTCCGCGCCTGGTGGAGCTGTGCAACATCGACGAGGAGGTGCAGCGGTACCGAGAACTGGCCGAGAGAATGCGCCCGCTGGTGTGCGACACAGTGATGCTGGTGCACGATCTGGTGGTGCGCCAGAAAGCCGTGGTGATCGTGGAGGGAGCCAACGCCGCCATGCTCGACATTGACTTTGGCACGTACCCGTACGTGACCTCGTCGAACTGCACGGTGGGAGCGGTGTGCACCGGGCTGGGTGTGCCGCCGCGGCTGATCCACAACGTGCACGGCGTGACCAAGGCGTACACGACGCGCGTCGGCGGCGGTGCCTTCCCCACGGAGCAGGAGAACGACGTGGGGCAGCTGCTGCGCGACCGCGGCCACGAGTACGGCGTGACGACGGGCCGGCCGCGCCGCTGCGGCTGGCTGGACATGGTGGCTCTGCGCTACAGCGCTATCGTCAACGGCTACACGTCCCTGGCCGTCACCAAACTCGACATCCTGGACGTGCTGGACGAGATCAAGATCGGGATCAAGTACACGGACTGCACCACTGGAGAAGAGCTGGCGAGCCCACCGGATCAGTTAGCAGTGCTGAAGAATGTTGAAGTCACGTACATCACGCTGCAAGGCTGGAAACAGGATATCACCAAGTGTACGACATTCGACTCGTTGCCGCCGCTCGCGCAGGCGTACGTAAAGAAGATGGAAGAGCTCGTCGAGGTGCCTGTTCAGTGGGTGGGTGTCGGACCGGAGCGCGACTCCACTATCTGCATCTTCTAAGCCAGCCGATTCCACGCTAGCTGCCACGGCCGCTGGGGGTTCATTTGCCGGTGACGGCTGTGTGCGGGAGAATCCAATCGCATTGCAGCTCGCACCTGCTTGCCCGACCCCATGTGTGTCCAGTTTTAGTCTTCGATGCAAACATGGTGTAGCCAACAGCCAATAGTGAACATTGAGTGTAGCGCTTTTGACAGATGTAATTCGGCCGCCTGCATGGAGTCTTGCAATACTGTTTTGCTGGTCGGTTGTGATCTGTGAAGGAAAAAAGAAGTTGCTTTCCAGGAAGCATCGATGAGAGAGAAGGTGGATATGTACAAGTATTTGTTTGATTTTTATGACCGTTCTGCTTCGAGGTACTACTATCTGCTGTGTTGGAGTGGATTATTGCCCCCTTCGAGCATGATCTAATAACTTGTCCTCTGTGTGTGTGCCGCGCGCAGAGGTGTTGTTCTGCCTATCACGAGCACACTTGTTGGACCATTGAAATAATCAATACTAATCTACTTGCGAGTTGTTGGACGTGAACAATATACATACAAGGCGATGACGCCTTAACAATGTTGTGCTACTCGATCTCGATACGGACTGTTACCGTTTTTGGCTATGCCTCCAAGAATGTGACTGTGTACTTATTCTATGATACCCCCCCCCCCCACTGCTCACACATACGCACAGATATGCTAGAGACGCCTGGCTTTGTTCAGTAGTACATGACCAAAATTGATTTGAACGAGTACATGTCTTGTTCGAATTAATATTGTGTACAGTGCACTTCCTGACACGGGCTGTGTACGGAGGTACGTCGTGCATTAGGCTGTCGTTCATGTCGTTGTGTACTTTCATGTACACAACACCATGAACGACAACAAAGCACGGTTGCGCATGAGAGAGAGTGTGTGTGTGTGTGTGCCGCTCAGAGGTGGTGGCCTGCCACTGTTCTCCCAGATGTCATGCTGTACTGCTGCACATTCCACTAGTATTCGATCAAGTCCGATATCTATTGCACACTGTTTTATCATCTCCATAATGTACATACTGCTTGTGCTTGTGATTATGTTCACGAGATGATCAGAGGTCATCGATGTTGCCAATACTCGGTGTTCTGCTTGATGTATGCTACCACTATGATTCTGAATGATGATCCTAATGCTGGACTGTCAAGTGATTGCTCTACCCTGCAGTTCGGAATCAGAGCGGTGCAAGATCACCAAAGATCCCATCGCAGCAGGTTCGCCTGGATACGGTCGGTACCTGAACCCCCACCACCACCACCAGCACCATCTCCACCACCATGCACTCCTCCCTTGAAGGCTTCCTATCTCGTCTTTGGTTTCAGTTTGAGCTGCTTGAACTACTGAAATCCGATCGCGCCCTGGACCAGTTCCCAGCACAGTGTTCGCAGATCTAGTGCTGAGCAGTGCCCGCTTGGCAGCAACTTTCTCGATCGGATTCCATTGACTGAGCACCACTGTAAAACAATGTAGATCTACAGTCTTGCTCGCTGGAATCCAGTCGCGTCGCTCAAGTAACAGTTTGTGCCTTGCACCATTTCGCTGCCCGGTGTTCGCAGGTCTAGGGCTGTGCAACGCCCGGCGCGTACTTGAGTGACGCGACTGGATTTCATTGAGCAGCACTGCACTGTACATGACATTGTACATGATTGTACAGTGAAATCTGCCCTACAAAGCGGACGCCCTTGGTGCAGCGGAAACTGTCCTGAACCAGGGATGCACGTAACGTTCGATCCGCACGGCACCGCAACTGGTGAATGAAAACTACTACTTGCCTGGTCAGGATTCCGCTTGGTTTAGACGGGTACAGGGTCCGTCCGGCAAACACAGGTTTTACTGTACTGATTCTGTACTTGAAGCAGCCTGTCATGCAGTCAAGTGCAAGGCTGACGCTCGGACCAGCTCGGCATCCGTAGATACCGTGTTACCGGTAATCGGCGGTATATGCAAGTCGTCCCCCCCCCCCCCCCCTTGATCATTGTGATTTCTTGGAACAGTCGAACACACGACACGGCATTTGTCGTGTCGTGTGTAAATGGCACTAAATGCCGTGTCGTGTACGCGTGTGTCGTCTTCGGTGGCTGCCCAGCTTCGCTTCCCTCTATGCGTCGAGCATGGCTTCCATTTTGACCAGCACGTGTCGGCTTTGATTCTTTGTGCGCGTTCGTCTTGTTGATACAGCAGTAGCCAGTACAGACAGACCACAGAGCAGTTGACGTCTACGGAGTGCGCCTGTGCTGCTGCTAGATGCAGCTAGCTCGATTTTTTCTTTCCGCCAGCGACATGCCATTCCACCGTGCTAAGTAATGGACGTTCTAAGACCAACAGAAGTTAGTTAGTGTAAAAGTAACTTTGTTTTGTAAAATAGGCAGAGTTCGTGTACGGGGAGAGCACGTCCTAGCAGGGTAATAATCAACAATAGAGTTTACTAACCAACGACCTTTGCCTTGGCAGTGCGTGCAGAGTTAGAGTTTCAGACGCAATGTACTGGTCACAGCGAAAGAAGAACAACATTGTTCTACTTATCTGTGCGTGCCTATAGCGCCTGGATGGGTTATACCACTGATGTTGTGCTTCGTTCTCTGTCTTTCTGGTCTTCGCCCGTGCCGCGTATCATCTGCAGGCTAGACTTACGTACACCGCAGCATTGTCTCTTCTGACTCTGAGGCATCCCGCAGCTAGCTCTCAGCCCAGCCTCTTCCATCGACGGTGTTGCACATGGCAGCTTCCGTCACCACTCCGCTGACGAGCGCACCGGACGGACTTCCCGGGGCGGCGGACGATGGTGACGAACCCGCCGCCAGCGAGAGCATTTTCGACCGCTTGCAGTCCGCTCGTCTCTCGGCGTTGAGCTCGTTCATTGTGACGGATAGCTCCGATTCGGAGGACAATGGATCTAGAAGAGGCTGGCGAAGGGTAAGCTGTGCGTGAATGTAGCCTCGAATACTCCTATGCCCTTGCCATAGTGCTCCAGGTACGGTTTGGCAAGTGAAATCCGGGAGCATTTACTGAGGTTTCTTACCTCAACAGCACACACCCTTGCAAAAAGGAGGAAATGGCGAAGACGACAGACTGCTAGTAACAAGACAACGACTGAATGGACCTACAATGCCAGGCAGAGCTGGTGACGGGTTGCTGTAGGCCAGCGAGGTGTTGATGTGGATCGGAGATCATTGGTCTGTCAGCGCCTCAGCGGAGCTTGCAGCACCCCTCATTCTAAACTGTACCCAGACTCGCAGTCCGTGGGGATTGTCGTGGAGAAATAATAGTTAATACATGATGGGGTTGATATTGATCAAACCCCATGCCTGTTTTGATTCCCAATGTACAACATCGCCCCATCAAAGACCCATTCAGTCAATGTCTTGGTAATTTCTTGTTAGTATTGTCATTTCCTACTCATTTTTCCCAATGGAGTGCACGGTAATCAAGGAAACAATCAGTACGCTTTCAGAGCCGAAAGACAATCAGTCTGTAGCTGAAGTGCTGAATGTAGTACGGTCATGATTGGCGATTCGGAGAGACAAGGGCATGTCCTGTCCGTCTGCATTCCATGTGCCAGAGCTGCTATTCTGTTTTTGTTTTGGCCTCGTGTTTACATGCAGCTAATCCGTTTTGAGGACATCAAGGTTCCGTTCGGCTGGCCTCTCTGGACCCTAAACCTGATCCTCACCGTGTCCGTGACGCTTCTCCATGTCGTGGAGAGCATCACTCTGCCTCTGTGGATCGGCAGCTACCCGCACCGGCAGTCCTCGGACGTGTTCGAGATGGAGCAGCAGATCGAGGAAGTGACACAGAAACGCATGGCAGCAGCAGAGGCGCACCAGCATCACCGGTCCTCGAGCAGCAGTGGCGGCGGTGGGCATCACGCGGCCGCAAAGTCGACGCCGCACAACGTGACTGCCGTCAACCGACAAATCGATCGCCACTTCAGCACGGACCCGTTCTTCGTCCTCAGCTTCGCCATGACGGTGTCGACTGTTGTGTACGGCTGCTCTCTTCTCTCCTACAACATGTGCAGGACAAAAGGGAGCAGAGCTACCAAGGTCAGTGAGTGTTTACACATTTACCAGTGAACAATGGAAGCAAACCAATTGTCACATGACTATATGGTCACATGACTAGATTGTCACATGACTAGATGCGCACATGACTAGATAGGAACCCAATCTATAAGATGTACGTCAGGGGTAGCTTTCTGTGAGAGAATATCGAGAAACTGGAGCAATGAAACAGCATGCAAATGAGGGAACAATTGAGACCTTTCCATCAAACCAATGAATGATCGAGATTTCGACAGCAATTTTGCTAAAATCTCATGTTTTGGCATACCTTCAATCTGAATGGAGCAGAGATGGGATATTGTTCATCCTGCCAGCTGGGCTGGAGGGTCACCGTTGTAAATCACTCCTCTGAACCCTTGACAATGTTAGGGTACGTCCAAGGCCACAAATCATGCACCCTTTTTATGCTTTCAAAAACTACTTAGTAACCACTATGCATAGTTTTCTCCCGTACTATTCCCGCGTCCAAAAAAGTCTGGCTCATACGTAGGTAAACAGACACGGGAAAACAACAAAATCAACTTTATCAGGTAAGAAAACAAAGAACATAGGAAGTAGTTTAGAGCAGACCCGCTCTTTCCCATTCACTTTGCGTTGAACTCGTTTTTATCAATTCTTTCAGTGTTTCGGCAAAGGTGCACGAATCAGGTTTGCAATGGTGTGCGTGTGTGGGGGGAGGGTGTATGTGTGTGTGTGGGGGGGGGGGGGGGGGGGCGCTTTCTGATTAACGGAGTACTGTATCACGTGTTCTCCTGCTGTTGGGTACGCTTGCAGTGGCAATTCCTGCACCGGGAGGTCATCCTGAATGCACTGCTCACCGCCGTCCCCTCCATTCTGGTCTTCTACTCGGCGTCGCCGCGTCGTACAGCTCCTCTCTTGCAAGCTGTTCTGCCACTGGCATCCATTCCTGCCACCATGGTGTTAAGGTGAGCTGTCAGTTGCGGCGGCAACCCGTACGGCCGCCGTGTTCTTGCTATGATTATGATCATTGCCAGTCGTCGCTGTTGTTGTCACGGTAACTCGGGGCCGGTGGTTGTCAGCAGACACCGATTTCACCGCTGAAACCTGTTTTCTCCTGAATTCATCATCGACTGTGTCTGATATGGAGAAGATAGCATTGCATCGTAGTATATGTTTTTAAAGGTCACACCTTGCCCCCCCCCCCCCCCCCCCCCCCCCATCCTCCCCTTCCCAGTGGATAACTTATGTGCAGAGTGAGCAGTCTGTCTTCACTTTGCCACAAGCAGTACATTTAGTTCTTCACTGGCTCCCAGTTTGCTTCTGCCTTGATGACATGTTGCACCATCCCCCCCCCCCCCCCCTATATTGCAGGGAACTGCTCTTTCAATATCTATAGAACTGTTGCACATCTATTACGTGACCATTCAGTCACAGGACCATCGGAAGCAGTTGTGATTGGTCCGGTAGTATCATGGCCATTCATACAGTTTGTGTGTGATATGGCGGGTACACATCGTCACATGACCTCCACAGTAGGAAACATGGGTTGGTGGCCGAAGAGTTAGTCCGGTAGTAACCTGACCAACCGGACTGGTTCCGGCGGGCCTGAGTCATCATTCTGTGAGAAGGCATCGTTGCCGGTTTGCTTGATGAAGTAGACTAAAGAATACCAACCCACGCCATACTGTGCACTGGCCGCTATGTTGGTTTCAACTCCACTCAAACACTGCATCTGTGGATCGTACGATGTCAGCCATGTTGGTTCCGTTGTCCACATACATTTTGAATTCTTTATTCTCACGATGCATGTACCATTTATTGGGTCGTGTGATGTCCACCATGTTGGTTCTGTTGTCCACATAATTATATGTACCATTACACTTCCTACCACCTACTTGAAAATGCACTAAGTCAATCGCATGATAAGGATGTAAACACCACTCTATACCTTTAACAATAGTCGAGACTCTCCGTATAATTATATTCTAGTGATTGTTAGTCTTGGTCATATGCTGTCTGATGAGTGTTTCACACGAAACTCCGAGTAACAGCGGAAAGGATTTTGTTTGCTTCATTGCTGTGTAATATTTGTAATATTAAATAGTCTATTATTATTATTATAGGTAATCACTGGTGAATTCTGAGGAGAAAATGTTCCGTTGTAACGAATCACTGTAGGTTGGGGGTAGATGAGTTGTCCTTCTTTCCCTAATCCTTCTTCTTGGCAGGATCTAGGCAGAAATTCTTCCAATGAATTATAGATCCCGACAAGTCGAAGCATGGTATTCAGCCAGGGCTACTTGGAGACATATTGTGCAGTGTTGAAAGAATGTTTGCCACATGCAGATGTGCTCAAGCCAGGAGACTCTTCCCTTGAACACCTGTCACGCACTGAAATCGTATCCTGGTTTCTATTTTGTTTCTCCAGTTTTTATAGGTTTTCAGAGCAGTAGCTTTGTATTGCACTTATTATTTATTGTGTTTGTTTTGACTGATTGTTTGTCCATGCAGGTATTTTATACTGCGCAAATATCCGTCCTGGGCGCAGATCGTAGCTGCCCTGCTCATCGTCGCTGGTCTGATCATGTCGCTGGTACCCAACGTACTGACGTCTGGCAGCGTGGAGGAGGAAGCCGTCAGGGTTAAGGGACTGGCGCACGTCCTCTGGCCGATTGCGTTCATGCTGGGCCACGTACGTGTTTAGGAACGTTGGCAAGGCCTGTTGAAGTTTGCCCAATTCGTTGGAATTGGCTGAAATAATAATTAGTAAATTACGTGAATGCTCAAATGTGGCCACCATTATTTATTGTATTTCAAGGATTACCCAGAGGCTCTAGGTTCGTCCAGGGGATCTCCTACTCAGTGAAATTTCATGTGTTCAAGAAAGAGTACAAGAGTACAAAGAAAAAAAATTGAAGAAAAGAAGCGGACAACAGTGTACAGATGGTTGTCGTATCCAGGGTCGTTTGACTGGAAATAACACCCCATGGTCCTGGAGCTCGATTTACTCTTGGTGGTGTCTGATGATTGATTTTGCAAGAAACTCTGAGTCACAACCAGACAGGTGTTTTCCCTTCTCGGTATGTGTACAAACTGCTGACGGTGCTCTTTGGCAGGCACTCAGTGCTATTCCAAACATCTTCACGGAGGACAGCGTCAAGAGGCACGTCAAGGTGGCATCTCTGCGCGTCAACATCCTGGCTTTCATCTTCTGGATCTCTCTGTACCAGTTGATGATCTTGCTGCTGCTGTTCTGGACAGACTTTGTGCCCCAGTTTGGCACTGCACGCAATCCAATGGACTTCATACGCAGGTAGGGTGCACTAGTATGTAGCATGCGTGGTGTGTTAGGTACAAACAATAGGAGGACGGAGAAAGTGTTTTTACTCCGAGTTTCACGCACTAAGCGATCATCAGAAAACAGTAATGAGAAGTCTGGATCAGTATTGGTTTATATACTCACAAGGCAAAGTGTAAATAGCTGCAGCATGGCGCAAATCTAAAAGTTGCAGGTATGATAATGATGACAGCACATCACAACGGGTGGAGGATACAATGTAAGGAACAGTATTCCTGACTGTAACCAGAGACCGGTTGGTAGAGTCCAATGATGTGCTCTTGTCATCATCATACCGGGTCACATGATATGATACTGTCAAGCCAGGCTTATATTTACCAAGGTATATGTAACATGAGCAGGTATGGTATGGTATAGTATGGTATGTGTTAGGGGTGAAACAATTATACCGAATACTCGAGTACTCGCTCGGTTTTTTCAGAAATAATCGTACTCGGAATAAATCAGAGTACTCGTTCATACATGGTGCATGCATTTACCACAGAAATCTGCAGTTTCAGAGCAGCAGTCGGCAGATATTGATGTGCAGACTGTGTGGTGAACATTTGTTCACGAGTAGAGAGAGCCACCAACCAATATACCAGAGAAAAATGACTGCCACTCGGTTCAATCAGGGTTGTATCATGTGACTTTAAGGCCCTTGGTGTGCAATTTTTAGAGGATGAAGAATACTCGAATACTCGAATATTCGATCGGAGAAAATCAGAGTACTCGAACTCGGGATCTCAATGCCAACTTTCACCCCTAGTATGTGTAGATAGGTGGCCAACCAAGATTGTTTTGGCTGGACAATACACTACTGAATTGAGGTGATCCTGGCTGGACGATGCGCTACCGATGGTGAATGTCTTGGCTGGACAATACACTACCAACAGAGATTGTTGGCCGAGCCATGCGTTTTGTTGAACTTTCAGGGACATGTTCTTTGCTAACAGTGGCAAGTAAAGACATAATATGCTGGCACCCCATGGCTTTCTCTTGTTAATTCTATGGCACCAGGCATACTCAGGCACGTAGGCTAGTGGTAGTGCCGATACTGATGACAATTGTGGCAAAATTGCAAACGCACTGTGCAGTGCATCAGCGAGTAATCTGCACGTGTACTATAACGGATATCAGCAGTATGAGAGGATCAACTTTGTGGCCTCTGCCGATCTACATCAGTCTGACACAGCAATGGATAGTGTTGTATGCGTGGCACAGAGGTCTGAGAGCAGGTAGGGTGTGCGAATGGACAGGAGTGTGTGAGTGGACAGGGAGACACTTTCATACGGAGTCTGTTCCTGTTTCTCTGAGGATAAAGTAAAGTCAACATGCGTACTGGATCAACCCGGATGGTGAGCCAATTAAATTATGGTGAAAAAGGAGAAGGAAAAAAAGTTACGAGTTATGACTAACTGTCCACCAACATAACCAGATCTTATACGCCGGTCAGCGAGTGCGCACATACTGGTTGACTTTACTTTATCCTCAGAGAAACAAGAACAGCCTCAGCCTCTATATTCCACACCATTATTCATTGCAAGTGATCGTTGTTGAGACATACTTCCCTGATGATGGTCTCATTAAAATCCGTAAGGAAATGAATATTGTGACAGTGTGTGTGTGTGTGTGTGTGTGTGTGTGTGTGTGTGTGTGTGTGTGTGTGTGTGTGTGTGTGTGTGTGTGTGTGTGTGTGTGTGTGTGTGTGTGTGTGTGTGTGTGTGTGTGTGTGTGTGTGTGTGTGTGTGTGTGAGTGTGTGTGTGTGTGTGTGTGTGTGTGTGTGTGTGTGTGTGTGTGTGTGTGTGTGTGTGTGTGTGTGTGTGTGTGTGTGTGTGTGTGTGTGTGTGTGTGTGTGTGTGTGTGTGTGTGTGTGTGTGTGTGTGTGTGTCTTTCTGAGCTCCGTGTTCTTGGCTTTCTCCCAAGTTTTCTGCCTGCCCAGGGCGACTCTGGCATAGCCAGAGTCGACCCTGGAGCACCCTCGCACACTGCCAAGGTAGTGCTGCATGATTGGAGCGCGGAATCGCGATGTAGCTTGCAGGACAATTTACTTTGATATTGTCACTGCTGCGTCGGCCGTGGTCCACCACTCGCAGTGGAGTAGCTGTCCCTCGAGTGCTGTGAAGAATCCAAGCTCGAAGAATGCAGTGGTGGGAATTGCGGATTGGCTGGTGGAGTGCTGGAACAACTCGTTGTTTTCAGTGGAGTGGACGAGCGAGTGCGGAGAGGAAGGTCCCAATGGCGGAATGGTGGGAATTGAAACTTCAATCTTTCGTCGTCATGAGTGCACTGGTCAAGCGTTGTGGAAGTCTGTCGGATTTGTGAGGCCTTGCCCTGCCGCTTACATCGTCAACGTGGAAGAACTGCTAGTGGAGTCCTGGTGGGATTTCGGATGCCCACACTCCTTTTGCTTGGTGGATTCTTTCGTGGACAGTGTTTTTTCGTGACGTGAAATTTTGAATTTTTTTTTCCTTCCTGTTCATTTTCAGTCGTTGGCACTGTAGCTGTCAGGTTGTTGTTACAGTACAGCAGTCGTCCGTTCTGCTCCATTGTTTCATCTGTTTTGCCAGTTCTGCTAGCTGATTCTATTTATTTGCCACTGCCCCTCATAGTGCTCATGCTTGGGTGGAGGGCGGCGTGACCCGTTTAGGGTAGCTGTATCATAGTAGTAGTAGTAGTAGTAGTGTGTGTGTGTGTGTGTGTGTGTGTGTGTGTGTGTGTGTGTGTGTGTGTGTGTGTGTGTGTGTGTGTGTGTGTGTGTGTGTGTGTGTGTGTGTGTGTGTGTGTGTGTGTGTGTGTGTGTGTGTGTGTGTGTGTGTGTGTGTGTGTGTGTGTGTGTGTGTGTGTGTGTGTGTGTGTGTGTGTGTGTGTGTGTGTGTGTGTGTGTGTGTGTGTGTGTGTGTGTGTGTGTGTGTGTGTGTGTGTGTGTGTGTGTGTGTGTGTGTGTGTGTGTGTGTGTGTGTGTGTGTGTGTGTGTGTGTGTGTGTGTGTGTGTGTGTGTGTGTGTGTGTGTGTGTGTGTGTGTGTGTGTGTGTGTGTGTCTTTCTGAGCTCCGTGTTCTTGGCTTTCTCCCAAGTTTTCTGCCTGCCCAGGGCGACTCTGGCGTAGCCAGAGTCGACCCTGGAGCACCCTCGCACACTGCCAAGGTAGTGCTGCATGATTGGAGCGCGGAATCGCGATGTAGCTTGCAGGACAATTTACTTTGATATTGTCACTGCTGCGTCGGCCGTGGTCCACCACTCGCAGTGGAGTAGCTGTCCCTCGAGTGCTGTGAAGAATCCAAGCTCGAAGAATGCAGTGGTGGGAATTGCGGATTGGCTGGTGGAGTGCTGGAACAACTCGTTGTTTTCAGTGGAGTGGACGAGCGAGTGCGGAGAGGAAGGTCCCAATGGCGGAATGGTGGGAATTGAAACTTCAATCTTTCGTCGTCATGAGTGCACTGGTCAAGCGTTGTGGAAGTCTGTCGGATTTGTGAGGCCTTGCCCTGCCGCTTACATCGTCAACGTGGAAGAACTGCTAGTGGAGTCCTGGTGGGATTTCGGATGCCCACACTCCTTTTGCTTGGTGGATTCTTTCGTGGACAGTGTTTTTTCGTGACGTGAAATTTTGAATTTTTTTTCCTTCCTGTTCATTTTCAGTCGTTGGCACTGTAGCTGTCAGGTTGTTGTTACAGTACAGCAGTCGTCCGTTCTGCTCCATTGTTTCATCTGTTTTGCCAGTTCTGCTAGCTGATTCTATTTATTTGCCACTGCCCCTCATAGTGCTCATGCTTGGGTGGAGGGCGGCGTGACCCGTTTAGGGTAGCTGTATCATAGTAGTAGTAGTAGTAGTAGTAGTAGTGTGTGTGTGTGTGTGTGTGTGTGTGTGTGTGTGTGTGTGTGTGTGTGTGTGTGTGTGTGTGTGTGTGTGTGTGTGTGTGTGTGTGTGTGTGTGTGTGTGTGTGTGTGTGTGTGTGTGTGTGTGTGTGTGTGTGTGTGTGTGTGTGTGTGTGTGTGTGTGTGTGTGTGTGTGTGTGTGTGTGTGTGTGTGTGTGTGTGTGTGTGTGTGTGTGTGTGTGTGTGTGTGTGTGTGTGTGTGTGTGTGTGTGTGTGTGTGTGTGTGTGTGTGTGTGTGTGTGTGTGTGTGTGTGTGTGTGTGTGTGTGTGTGTGTGTGTGTGTGTGTGTGTGTGTGTGTGTGTGTGTGTGTGTGTGTGTGTGTGTGTGTGTGTGTGTGTGTGTGTGTGTGTGTGTGTGTGTGTGTGTGTGTGTGTGTGTGTGTGTGTGTGTGTGTGTGTGTGTGTGTGTGTGTGTGTGTGTGTGTGTGTGTGTGTGTGTGTGTGTGTGTGTGTGTGTGTGTGTGTGTGTGTGTGTGTGTGTGTGTGTGTGTGTGTGTGTGTGTGTGTGTGTGTGTGTGTGTGTGTGTGTGTGTGTGTGTGTGTGTGTGTGTGTGTGTGTGTGTGTGTGTGTGTGTGTGCTTCTAGCTAGATGCACTCTATAGTATTTTTTTATTTTACTAAGTACACAACCTACTCGTCAGAAGGGGAGAGGACAGCAGAATATACAATAATAAAACAGCAGGGAGAGCAGGGCTGCAAAGCAAGCCTGTGCTGGTGAGGCAAGCCCACAACACCGACCGACCTATGGTCTCGGCGTTTTGCATTCTCTATGCATTCTCTACAGGTGGTGGTTGAGCCTGTGCTGTTTCGTGGGCAGTAACAACTGCTCTGCTCGGCCGGGCATATCCGGCACGATCTTCCTGCTGGCGTTTCTGTCCGAGAACTACATGACGTGCTACTTGCTGCGCTACTGCGAGGGAGCTACTTATGTAGCTATAGCACAGGTATGATTGGTCTGCATGGTCACCACCACTGCAGAGCTGGCGATTGTTGTTGTTGTTGTTTGATTTGATTTTAATTCGCAGTAACCAAATGAGCAGAGGTACTCCATAACAAGGAAGAGAATGAAGGTGCCAATACGTACGAGGTGACTCAAGCAGGCAATAACAGATAATGGGGGAAGGGGCAGGTGGAGTCCGGTTCGAGATGGACAATGAGAGCTCTGACACCGAGGGGTAACATATTTTAGAGAGAAGTAATTTTTTCAGAGGCGGGGTGGGGGGATCATCTAGTGCCATGTAAAACAGCTGGCACCATTCGCAGGCCATGCTAAGCCTTTCACTCCTGCTTCTGTGTCATCATCGCATGCCCCCCAGCTTATACAATCAGTGCTACAATGTGTTGTTGATCAGAGCGTTCACAATGTTGGTAGAACCTGATTTAGCGACCAACTGCTTTCTGCAAATGAACGGCTTTCTTTGACGAGCAGCCAGGCTCAGCGACCCCAAGTCCCACGGGTGACGCCAGGTGTTGCAGACTTTGCCTGCAGATCACTGATGTCTATGTATTCGTTTTATTTTACATCGCAAGTCAAACGTGCAATCATGCCCAATGTTATGATGACCATGGAAAGGGAGAAAATATTTAAAAAAAAAGAAAAGAAAAAAAGACAACCTGGATAAGTGGAGTGAAGAAAACAGTGAGTGTGGATCAAACTACACTCAGCCTCACAATGCAGGAAGCAATGACCAAATAGGGAAGCAATGACCAAATAGGGAAGCAATGACCAAATAGGGAAGCAATGACCAAATAGGGAAGCAATGACCAAATAGGGAAGCAATGACCAAATAGGGTGGCATGTGACTCGTTTGTAATTGCACACCCCCAGCAACAACTCTGTCCAATAAATCAGGCCCGACTTTTCTTCTGCTTTCTTCACTTCTCATGTGTCCGCCTGGGCAGAATGGGACGGAAACCGTACTATTAAAAACTACTGAAGTGCTGTATTTCCCACTTATACACGGACTTTGGAGTGAAATACTCCAGCTTGTTTTGGTGCTCGAGAAGGGAAATATGGATGCCGTGAGTGGGATTTTTAGTCTTTGATCACTTGGTGGTGGGTCTGATCAAGAGTACATAATGGGGGTTATGTACTCTTGGTCTGATCTACTCACCTCGTTCCGCTTTAGGAGCTGCATCCGCGCCTCTGATCCCATGAGGACGGTGGCGTTCCTACGGATGCGGAAAGTTCGGGATAACCGAGTACTAGTATAACACAAACCGCGAATGTCTTTGCTGTTTGTGCTCAGGCCTTTCGCACACCACTATCGGCGCTGTTCTGGACCCTGTTCAACGAGCATCCGTTCCACTGGCAGCCACACGCCACCAAGGCAACGTGGTTCAGCTTCGGCGCTCTGCTTGTCATGATACCGGCGCTCTACTTCTACGAGTGGGCAGGCAGGTAAGCGGCGAGCAAGAATTCCATTGCCCGTGCTGTGTCATTCAGACAAGAAAGTCAGAAGATCATGCTGGGCGCAAGCGTGTCGGAAACCGACAGAGATGTTGTTGTTGCTGCTGCTGTTGTGGTTGTTGTTGTTGTTGTTGTTGTTGTTGTGGGTTGTTGTTGTTTACTTACATTTGTGTATCCAAACTGGCTCAGATGCCCTGCCACACGGCACAGATAGACAACCAGTTTACAGTTTTACAGCATACAGACAAGATGCTGAGAACTCTACCGTGTGGCAAACGGCTTTTGATAATGCAGAGCGTTGCTGCAAGACAATGTCTTTGTGTACAAGCTTGATGCAATGAGTTTCTGATCCGCACCACGCCAATATACATTGAAACCTGTCTAAGCCAACCGTGCAAGGGACCTTCAAAATGTGGCCGCTGTCTACAGGTGGTCTCCTTGTTCGTTGGCATTTGACTCGGGAAATAACACCCCTTAGTTCTACTTGTTGACAGTCATTATCCTCGGGGGGGGGGGGGGGGGGGGGGGGGCGGTGGTCGTCTTGACAGGTTTCAATCTAATTAGTGCAATGAGTTACTGGTCCACACCATGCCAATCTAATAATATTAGGTAATAGGTAAAATGAGTTACTGATCCACACTACCATGCCAATATCCTTCACACTCAATGATCATCTGCATCTTTCTCCCGCTGGCTTGCAGGAAACGAGGCAAGTACAGCGGCCGGTTTGCGCAGTGCCTGAAGTGACCATGCAGCGGCAATGACAGAGTGTGATGCCACTATCACCATTGCTGCAGCCTGCTACTCTCCGATCCGGTGGTAATAAAAACACTGCTGATGTTACCAATTTCGAATGATGTCACCACAATGGGCATCATTGCTAGCGACATCATCAGTGACAGCATTATCATGCGGCTGCTGCATGACCCATAGCCGTCACTACATCTTATCCATGAGGTTGCCGAGTGCAGTCCAGCACTAGTTCTTTTGACTTGATATTTTTTATGTAGCAAAACACAATTTTGCAACTTTTCAATTTCAATGCACCATTTGGTAAAACACCTGGAGGCTGGAACGCAACAATAGGTCTAGTTAGTAGGTCGGCACATAAGCATGTGCAGCCTGAAATTAATGCAGATGATCCGGTCTGTTGCCACCATAATTATTTTGACAATTATCCAGCACTAACGGGGTCATTGTTTTAAGTTTCTAGTTTATGCCAAGCAATACATGGCTGGGGCAACCAATAATCATCAATGAAGTTACACACGCAAGCACACAGACACACACACATCTATCATCTCGGATATATATATTTCTGCCTGCAGGCTGACTGTCGGCGTATTTATTGGAATGAAGAACGCCACTGCGGCCTATTGTTGCCGTCCTGTCAAGCTGATGTTCCCAATGGCATATCTAGAAATGAGCCGGTGACCCGCCATTCTTGTCGGTACAAAAACTCCCTCGGTCCTTGACACCATACATCACTACTCGTTAGAAATTCGGCCAGGTTTTACAAAACTAGGACAGCAGAATTGCACCAAAAAAGCTGATCCAAAAACCCAGATTTTTGAATTTTACATAGGTTTCGAGCTTGAATTCGGCAGAAATCGGCCTTTATCATTGCTGAAGGAAGCACACCCTGGAATGCTGGTTACACTGGGTGCAGAGCATAGTCCGATTGGACGTGGACGCGGGGTGATGTTGGCTACTGGCGGACCACTGCCGGTACTGGGGTGGAGTGTCCCATTCTAGAAAGTACTCAATGTGCAGGCCTCATGGGAGCACTTTCGGCTGGGCACATCGGTACAATATACTGTAGTCGACCAATGTCAGAGAAGGAAATACCTCAAGTCAGCTTTACACTGAAAATGACACTTGAACACTACTGAGAATGACTAAAGATGTCCGCTTAAATCGCAGGAAAAAGTCGTAACGTTATCTTGTTGGAGTTTCTGCAGATTGCAAAAATGTCGGTGAAAATAACTGGAGACTTCGTGTGGCCCTAATACATTTTGTGAAAATAATCTCAGCCAATAAAAAAAGAATTTCTAGAGCAAAACAAATGTAATCACTCCGGGCCTAATTCCCGAAACCTACCTAAAGAGCACGAGCGACAAGCTTGACGAGCATATGTAAGCTGCTCCTGGCATAGTCACCAGCAGTGCAAAATAGAAACCAGCTGACAGCAGAGCAAGAAATACCCTACGAGAGTGATGCTATCGCCACTCTGTCTACCTAAACAAATAATTGAAAAATCACAAAAACCGAAGGCAGAGCGAGGTCTAGCTTGTAAGTTGAGTTTCACGTTACGCAGCCCTATCATGGCAATATATCTAACATGAACCTCTGCCCGTTGTGCTGTTGAGCACTGTGGGCACCCAGAAACAAATTTTACTGCGTAAAAATCACATTAAATAAGGAAAAATAAATGAAGGACAAAAAAAATGTTACGAGTGCCGACCAGCTGCCCACCAATGTAACCAGATAATACACAATCAGCTAGTGCGCCATCAGACTACATTGGCTCAACATCCGAGTTCCAATTAAAATAAGGATTAACAAAATGACTGCAGAGTTGCTACACGCGCACATAAATTCAAGGAGCTCACGCCGTCAGAAATGCCAGAAACGAAGGCTCGGTGCACAAACGAACATGTTACGCACTGGCGTTTCATGTGATCAAACAATATCATTGACGATAGACGGCTTCTTTACTTCTATATTGAGTGGGAAAGACCCAAGGACGGAGATTTGCCCTCATTTGGAGATGAAATTTTAGAATCGTAGCGTTTTAGACCGCAACGGTGGTGGATGGTAGTGTGGCTACGAGATGACTAACTGGCTGCAGTGGAGTCTCCAAATATTGAAGACAGCTGCTTAGAAGCACTACAACGAAAGCAGTTGAAAACAAAGTGGACAGCTGGAGCAAGACCACTGCTGTTATTCTGAGTTTACACTATAGCGAGTACTTCTGTGATTGCCATTTCAGAAGAAAGAATAGGCAACGGAGAAATGGCGACATGAAGAACGGTACCTGCACTGTCCGACGGCGGTTGCTACATGACTTCACTTGTTTTTGTGCACGAAAACAGACTCTGCTGCCTTGCATGGCGGGATATCGGCATAGATACGATCCGTACTGCCAGACACCTGCAAATACCGGTTCCTTGATCACAGAAGAAACAGCAATAACACAACAACAACAACAACAACAAACGTAATAAGCCCATTGCGCAATGACGTAATTTGTACGGCGAACACCCCACACAGCCACCTGGGCATGGTCGTCTGGGGGCCGGTGTTGAACAGTGCATTGCTGATCCCAGCGTACTCACATGCATTACTCATACCTTCCATCTTTGGCAATGGGCAATGGGCTTATAGGAGTGAGGCATCCTGTAGCTTCATAACTCAAAGAGAAAATTAAATGGTGAGCACACATGCTCTTTCCCTGGACATTGCAAATTCACAACTCAGTTCACTGTATCTGTATTGACGTTTCGGTAAATTGCCATCATCACGATGCAATATGAAGTGGAACAAAAAAAAAACAGCAAGGCAAATTGACGTCAGCACTCCGAAAACTGAAAACTGGAAACGGCGCCAATGCAGGCTTTTCAGCTCCGACATCCTTGCCAGTGTTTCCGTGCTGGTCAATGAAATCCAGAAGTCAAAAGGCAGCTAGGGATAGGCAATAGGGCCTGGATCATCATCAGGGTGAGACAGAAAACGATTGTGCACTTGCGGGCGCATAGAAAAGCTCCTCAAGACCTCCAAACTCTAGATGCGCTTGAAGCTGGAAGACGCCCGTGTATACTGATGTACGCATGCGGACTACTACAAAACACACGTGTTTTCCAGGCACCACTAAAACACTTAGTAAACATGACCAGGTCTCTCTAGGTGGGCGCCCGTTTGGCACGTAGTAATAAAGAAATCATCGGGATCTATCTGTCTTTTCTTCCCGTTTCTTTGTTTTCCTTGAGAGGAGAGAGAGAAGCGGGGGTATAGCAGCTTACCAAACGTCGGGGAAACGGTTGTTTACTTCCTCCCGTGGCAGCGACCCGTCCGCAACGTGATCTATCACATAGTGCACAAAACCAAGTGCCAGGTCCTGCAGCAGAGCAGACGACAGAGAGGACACACTTCACGACTTTTTTGCTTTCAGCAACAATTTGTAGTTCATGCCATGCCTGGTCAAGAACCACAACCACTTATCGTACATATTCGGGAATATAGTGGACTTTCGTATATTAAAAAAAAACCAAAAAACTATGTCTTCTTTTGACACGTAACAAGGGTGCCCGGCCTCCCGCTTTACTTCTATTTTAAGCTTAAGAGGTCGCTATGGCAAGGCCTGGACAAAAAGGAGGTGGAGGACGATGGTGGAGTCACTCTCTTGGTGTGAGGCCGGCTCTAGCCATTGCTTAAAGTGGGTATACATCCAAACCATGTCATGTGATCAGTTATCCATAGCTGCATTGTAGATTGACAACTGCAGCATGCATACATGTGCGCATGCAGGTACATGCACAAGCACACATGTGTGTACACACATACACACACACACACACACACACACACACACACACACACACACACACACACACACACACACACACACACACACACACACACACACACACACACACACAGAAACACACAGACACACACACACACAGAAACACACAGACACACACACGCACACACACACACACACACAGAAACACACAGACACACACACGCACACACACACACACACACACACACACACACACACACACACACACACACACATCAGCATGAAAGCAAGCTTCAATTTCCGACACTTGACCAGTACAAGTAAGTGTAACTGACATGAAGTGGTATTGCACATGTGAACACTTACCAGCCACTGCCGGTGGCAATCTTTGCCAAACTCTAGCCAACTGTCGATGTCCTGAAAGCGCCGTGTGATCTACAAGAGCAACAGCAGCAGCAACAGCAGCAGCAACAGCACTTGTCAGTTACTAGAAAACAGGTGTAATGGCTGCTGTTGCCTGGGCTGGCATAAAATGTGGAGAAGGGTAGGAGGCTGTCTCGAGCTAGCAGCAAACAGTGTCATTATTCGCTCCTCTTAGGCCGGCATAGCCACACACCTTGTCATAAACTCCTCTCATGTAGTGGCCCTCCGACGGCAGCTGGGACGGTGCCTTCTCTCCTTTCGCTGCCGGCTTCTTCTGCTTCTCGCGGCGATCCAGGACACGTAGCGCTGTCTTGGTCTTCTCGCGAATAGCCCGGATGCAAATGTACCTGCATATCGTGTCACGTGCGTACATGTACACACAGACAGACATACAGACAGACACACACGCACACACACACACACACAGATCTTTTCATTCCCTGTATGTCTTTGCTTGACAGATACAACATTTCCTACAGAGCTAATAATATACTGAAAATCTTGCCCAGATTCTTGTTTTACTGCGCCCCGCCCCGCCAGCCACCCCGCAGCACGCAGCCAAGCCCCAAACGCACGCGGCGCACAGCCACCTTCGCCAGTCTGGTAGGGTCAAACTTCATCGCTCTAGGTCTGGGTTTCGATACAGGGGAACCCTAGTGTACCGTAGCACGTGCTGACACTTCCAACAGCCAGCCAGGAGTCGCGCCATATGCCAGTTTTCTCGTACGCACTTTCACGCAACGGTCAAAAACTCAAAACCGTACAGCTGCTGCTGTTTTCTTCATTTCTTCTTCGCTATGGCCGCTCGATCTTTACTTTGAGGATGCCGGGGCGGTTTTCGAAGAGGCTCAGTGCCAGGGAAGCTGTTGAGGCCATATTTACGGGTGAGGATAGGATGATGGCTCAGATGAGTCCTCAGGACTTTGTGGCGAAGTTGAGGAAGACGAAATACAGAAATCTGAGTAACCAACATGTCTTGCATTAAATTTTCTCAAACAATGAGAATGCAACGCCAGCAACAAACAGATGCAGCAAAATACAGCCGTTGCTTACACTGCTTCTAGAACGCTTCCAGTCAGTCACTGCGTGCACGTACCTACTGGAGATATACCTATAGATGAGGAACTGGTGCTGTTCAAGGGGAGGCTGCAGTTCAAACAATACATACCTAGCCAGCGTTCACGCCTGGGGATCAAGCTGTATGCATTGTGTGACCGTCATGGATGCTACTGGAATGCTAGGATCTACGATGGTGCTCCCCAACCGTCGAATCCACTGACACAGCAACATGTGGACGCTACAGGAGCCCTCACAGTACACATACTTGATTCGCTAATCGACAAAGGATTTGACCTCAATGTGGACAATGTTCACACTTCACCGAAGCTTGCCGAGTACCTACGTGAACACAACACGAGTATGTGTGGAATACCCATAGAGCTAAAGAATCCGGAGCACGCTATGCACATCGGAGGAAAGCTGACATCCTCCTGGTGAAGATGCACGACACGAAGGTCATATACCTTACCTCAAATCATCACAATGCGGACCTCTAGCCCACCAGAAAGCGGACAGGTGACAACCGGATCAAGGGATACCTAAAGGTGAACACCAACTACCATCTCGAGAGGTGTTGACAAAAACGATATGACGATTTCAACGTATAGCGGGCTCAGAAAATCGTATAAATGGTACAAGAAAGTCATATTCCACTGGATTGAAGGAGCAGTACACAATGCATACATCCTCTACAAGCTGCAGCCTGGCAAGTGCCCTGAGCATTAAGCATTCATCGTCGCTGTTGTCAACGTACTGCAGTTGTCAAAGCACTGCTGCTGTCAAAGAACTGCTGTCTAGTGCTGATGCTGACAGAGTGGATGCTGCTTCTCCTATTCGTAACCGCCACCTCAGCAAGCAGTATCCACAGCTTATTACTAGTACGAACGCCGAGAAGTGGCCGGCCAAGCGATGCAAGCGATGCAAGGGATGTCTGGGGGCATGGCGGGCGTCACGAGTCCGCACACCATCAGTGCAAGCAGTACCCTGACCACCGTGGCTTCTGCATACCGTGCATAGACACCTGCTTTGAAGCATTTCATGAAGCTGCTGAGTACCGACGTGATCTCAAGGAAACCAATCTCGCTTGCGGCCGGAAATTGCCACGGAAGCCTGAAAACTCTGCGCATAAAGCGTTTTAAATCCAATATGAAATAGCCATGAAACAGCAATAGTTCAGATGGATAGAGCGTTGCTCATGGCAGGCTGGATCCCGGGTTCGAGTCCTGGTGGGGTTAGCGTTTTATTCTCTCTTTTCAGGCAGTTCACTTCCCCGACTGATCCTTTGAAACAACAATACGTACTCATCTAAGGGCCTATCGACACTACAACAAAAACCGCGTACAAGTAACTTTTCCTTGTAAGTTGTCATGGAGAACCGTAGGAAACGGCGCAAAAGTGAAAAAGTCGCTTGAACGTAATCAGCAACTTCCGAACTCCGATACAAGGCCACTTTTTACTTTCAAGTAGCTTTTCCAGGTTTCGGAATTAGCTAGTTGTTGAAGTATTTTGTTGAAGTATCTTGAGAAAATGCCGAGGGTTGTGTTCTGTGAAGAGCTGGAAGGAAGCTCATTGAGCTGTGGGCTGCAGAACAGAAAGCGAGCAATGGGACGATGAAAAAGCGGTCGGTGAAGGAGAAGGAGATGCCGTGAAGTTGAATTTATTCGGCCGCGAGCTGTATGGCGATAAATTTCAGAATGAGATCACAGTGCCGATTGTTCACAACAAGCTGGACAACCTACGTACCAAGGCCAGGGAGCAGTACAAGAAATATCGCCGCCACACCGCTACCAGCTCTGGTGCTCCAAGCGAAGATTCCGGCGATGCCGACATAGATCTGGAAGCTGCTTGCAGAGCTTGGGGTAATTTCAAGACCTGGCACTCACTATTCAAATTGGTGCCGGGGTATGGCCCCATCACGAGTCTTAACTCCGCTGCCCTGCCCACTGAAACTGCCGCGGAGACCCTACAGCGACCAGCTCCTCTTCGTTTTGGAGTGGCCAGCTCTTCAAGTCCACTTGAAAACCCATCCAGTGGTAGTGCGCCACCAACCCCTGTGATACCTGCACCATCACCATCACCACACACCGTCAACATGCACCATGGGGGCCAGTCTTTTGGCGATGACACCAACCATTTTGGCGATGACACCGACCATAATGCACTGGATGAAGCAATGCTTGCAGAGGCCAGTGGCAGTGCAGCTGCCACAGCAGCAGTTGCCAGCGCATGTAGCACTCCAGGTCGTCCAGCCGCATACAAACCAGGATTGCATGGCCAAGCATCCAGGAAGCGGTCAAGACACATTGTGCTGGACTCTGACTCGGAAAGCGATGAACATGGGTCCGACAGTGACCATCACACACCTGTCACTCCCACCGAACAGCCAAGTGTGCGTACAGCGGTGGGGAAAAATGAGGCAACCAAAAAGACAAAAAAGACCAAAAGAAAAGCTGCAGGCGAGTCCTCTATATCCGATGCTGTCACCAAGTTGTGTAACACTCAAGTCCAGCTGCAACATAACCAGCAAACGTTTTTGGCTGGAGTTATGCGGCAACAGCAGGATCATACGCAAGCGCTGATTCAAAGCCAAATGAAGTTCACGGCGGATCTTTTCAAGAAGTGTACCTCTGATGATTGATTTGCTCACGACTTATTCACTATCGTACAACTTGTGATTTTGTTTTTTATCTCTTCAAGCAGATCTTCATAGCTTGTTTTGACACATGTATAATGAAATTGTGATACCAAACTGGTGGCAGTTTCTAGTTTGTACTCCCCTGTCCCGTTTTGTACTCCCCTGTCCCTTTTTCTCCTTCACTATGAGCATGTTGGATTCGGAATATTTTTAAATATATGTAGACTAGGTGTGTGGCTGAAGAACTACTGCACTTGTCGTTTTGTTGCATACACTTTGCGTATACTGTCTTTTTCTCGCTCCAAGGTTTTGTAACTTTCAGTACTTGCTCATTTTCTGGGTACAATTGAGTAGCAATTATCATCGTGTGACCAGCAGCAGAATTGAATTACATGTACTACTTTCAGCACATTCAGTGGTCCAATTATTTATGTAGTGGTGCCAGGTGTGCGAAGACACACTGTAGTGAATTGTATGAAATTATCTATGAATTCTTGATTCACATTGATATGAGATGAGGTGAGGTTCAAACATTGTGAACATGGCGAGCCAAGCAATTGCGAATGTCAATTGCAGGTGATGATAGTAACTCAGCAGGTGGCAATGGTGCATAATTTGTAAGACAAGGCAGGTATCCTGAATGCCTTCGTTCAATAATGTTGTGGAGTGCACAACTCAGCATGCCAGCTCGGCTGGCAAATTGAGGATCACTGCTGTTGCACTTGGAAAGAACTGCAAAGCGTTCTTTGGCTCGTCCAAACACGCACTCCACTACATGTCTAGTGCAAATCTGAGCCCAGTTGAACGACTCTTGCTCTGGTGCCAGGTTGCCATCATCTCTAAAGATACGCATCAAAGTTGTAGAGAGTGGAAATGCGCTATCTCCCACCAGATATGGGCGAATGGTCGTTCCATCCGGGCAAGGCCAGACAGGTGCGTTGAGCCAAATTTTGTCATCTATATTCCGCTTCAGTTGACTGATGTTATAGACAGCAGCATCTCCCGCTGAGCCAGGCGCACCAATGTCCACATAGGTAAACAGACCACGGCTATCAACACACGCTAGGAGAAGGATTGACGTGTAGCCCTTGTAGCACCAATAACGATCACCAAACAGAACTGGCTTTGTTATCTGCGTGAAAGTCCCATCCACAGCACCGCAACACATTGGTAGATTGCTCAACTCATCGAAACATCTCATGGTGCGTAGGAGTTGTGGCCGAACAGGAAAGACGATGGACTCTTGCGCGACTTCAGCATAGAGGGAGTCGATGGTCTGGTGGACAATTTCCCCAACAGTGCTCGAACCAATGAAGAACAGGGCAGAGATCTCAGAATATGTCTCAGAATGAGCAAGAAAATACAGTGTTATGGCAAGGCGCTTGGCGGGGGAAATCGTCTTTCGAAGATGTGTTGTGTCCCTCTCAAACAAATGTCGATTTCGGCACAGTAGGAACTTGAACGTCTTCTTGCTCATCCGAAAACTAGATATCCAAGCCGATTTCCATCAACGCCTGGACACCAGCCTCACGCTCTCCCAGTTCCCCAGCACTTCTCGTTCCCAGAAACCTCTGCCACCGTGGGTTTCATTTTCTGGATGAGCGGTCCACAATTGACGGCCAAGCGAAGTAGTGCTTGCACTCAGGAGCAGCAAGAGTCCTGCTGTGGGAAAGAAAGAAGATTCTGACTGTTCATCAGTTTCCAAATCGCGCGTGCAGTCAAAAAAACTTGATCGGCTCAATGATTGGCTGAGGTATGTCGCAAACAGCAACCTCTTTCGTCTTCGATTGTCCATAACTGGAGGCATTCTCCACTCGAATCAACAAACAGGGAGACATAGGTAGGAACAACAAGATGAAGCCTCCACGAACAAATTTTTGAGTCGATGATTTCTCTTTCAGATCAATGTGGAACTCTCTGAGATAAAATTTTGAATATGAGGGGAAATTCCCGCGGGCGCTCCTCAAAAGTCACGTTTCACGCCGGCTGTTCTTGCGAGTGTGGATGCAAGTGCACTTGCACGCCACTTGAAAGAGGACGCTACTACGTTTCACACCTGTAGTGTGGATAGGGCTTAATTGTCCGCAAACTCCAATGCAGCCACTTGCTCATTTAGGAAACTTCACTTCTCAACTCCACAAACTCCAAAACGGTCTCTTCACTGCGATTAAAATTAAAGTTTACATTACACCGCCGGTGTAGTGTGGAGTTTGGAGTTGAGAAGTGAAGTTTCCTAATACGTACTCTTTATATATTACACTATATTTGCTTCAATGCCACAGCATCCTAGAACACTAACTGTACACAGTCAATGTTTCAATAGAGCCACATAAGGTCTTATGGCCCCCGGCCAGTCATCTAGCAAATCATGAAATTTACTTGCTTTTTAAAAAGTTTTAACACCTTGTACCTTTTCCAGTCCGGCTATTAAATGTTTTTGGCCAAAATTCAACAATATTTTAAATTGATACAAATGCCATTTTATTGTTTTCAATTTGTTGCTACACTGTCCCCCCTATAGTATCAATACAGGATAAAATCAAAAGTGCGGTTTTCCCGATAAATTTCATGATTTGATAGACAACGACTGATATGGGGCCAAGACCTTCTGTTGCTCTATTCAAACACTGACTCTGTGAGAGAAGTGTTCAAGGGATGCTGGGGCATTGACCCAGGTATACAAAGCACAATGTTTCGCATCACAGCTGGTGTATTGTATCGATACAGGGCACAAATCTAAAGTGTGTTTTGCATCTTAAAAAAAAACATTGAACTGAAAAAAGCTGAACTGAAAAGAATTTAACTGAAAATAATTTTTAATTTAATTGAAGTAGCAGCAAACAAGCCTCGATTGTCCTTGTTGTTCTGTTCTAAAATAACTAACAAAAAAAATAGTACAAGTCCTTCAGGTGTATTGTTGGTGGGACATTGCAGACCCTGCACTGACTCACCACACTGTCTTGCGCTTGAGCAAACCAACTGGACAGCGCTTCTCGTTCAGGAAGTAGAGAACATTCCCCTCGTGGCCATGATCATTACGCACCTATAGAAAGAAGACGATGGCAGCAGGAAAGAGAGAGAGGAGGCTCTTGTTAAGATCACACCTGCACTGGCAATTCACCCCGCTAGCCTTCACTGAAAGAACTGTGACAGCAAAAGAGTGTGTTAGCAAGCTGCGTCGCGCACCCTCTGCCATAGCAAGCAGGTTCATACTTGCAAGTACAACCTCTGTTGTAGCAAGCAGCTTCATTCATCCTCTGTTGACTTTGAGATACTGTGCTACTGGGAGCTGCAATCTCCAGCCAACCAGCCAGTATTGACCTTGCCAGGTTTCATTAGCAGAGCTCTGACTGACCGACTGTTGAGCTCACCAAGGTCAGGTCAGTCTAAAGCAAGATTATCATAGTCTTCTGAATGGATTGCACATGTAGATCGCTCAATCATTCATGAACTGCTGCTCGTACATAATGGAGAGTGGATACCGGTATGCTCATGCCTGGGGAAGGGGGGGGGGGGGGGTAGAGTGAGGTAGGCTACTAGTATTTAAAAGGTGTGACGCCAACATGGACAAGTGAATGTTCAGCCACTGTCCTGTGCTCATACCAAGAGTACATAACCCCAAAAGAGTGTGCAACCCCTGATCTCCGGGCTATGTTAGGTTCGGTAGACAAGAGACTGAGAAAGATTCAATCTGTAAACGACAGAGAAGACTCTCAAAGAAATGCGTGCGTGCATACACAGTAGAGCTAAAGTTGTACGACACTACGTCATAACATAACAGGCTATGGGTGCCGTGTGTGGCGCGCTGCCTGCATTACGTAGTGAAATGACGATCCAGCTGCCTGGATTTTGGTTTTCCTACGGTTTAGCCTCAGCAATATCAAGTGCAATACGGTCAGTTCAAAGGCAATGCCTGTGCGCGACGCATCACATTATATTCGTTCTTAGCAGGAACCGGAGGTTTTTCCTCTGGTGAGAAGGCAGAATTGCCTGTGCTCTAAACGAATTCAAATAAAAGAAACAAACAAACATACAACACCATCCGAAGTTCCCCGAGGATTTGGAAGCAGGAAACCGTAGCAGATCATTAATGAATGGTGCAATAGCCCACATCACGTGGCTACGTAATGCAGGCAACGCGCCGCGTCAGGTCCCATATGCAGAGCTACATACAGTAAAACCTGTCAAGGCGACCACTCGGATAAGGCGACCACCTGTCCAAGGAGACCATTACAACCAGGACCAAGGGATGCTATTTCCAGTCAAATGACCCTGGATAAGGAGACCACCTGGTAACAGAGGCCACGTTTTGAAGGTCCCTTGAGCAGTGGTCGTCTTAGACAGGTTTCCCTGTAGTCTTGGGGTTACGTAGTCTTGTACATACCTTGGTGAGATACACATCTAGTTCATCCAGTGGCAGGTCCTCGCAGGCAACTGGCTCAAGGCCAAACGCTTTGGCCATCTGCATCCGTGAGTCAGACAAGAGCAGAACGAGCAGAAGCCAAAACACTTTCAAAGACACGGCCACACAGCGGAATCACTCTAAAACACCATGTATCAAATGAGGAGACACAACCACTTAGTCCATACTTAGCTATACACTACATTAGAGGCTAATAAGACCACACTTAACGGCCATGCTTGGCAATCACCCATATCTCTACATTATTGCAAGAGTACATAACCCCCCAGAGTGTGAAACTCCGACATACCCTGCTGTCCCGACAGAATTTCAAGTTGACGTCATTATTTATGACGCAATGCTCCTTGCACCAGTGATTTACAACATGTGTACGGGTGCCAACGCATCACACGTTTTTCTTTGCAATAATTTGTACAGGATCGATCTGCTTCGGTCAACCACAGGTTCCGGATTCGTCTGGTAATCCGTGTACAGTGCGCATTGCATCATCAAAATGACGTCAACTTGAAATTCTGTCGGGACAGCACCCATAGTGGAGTTGCACACTCTGGGGGGTTATGTACTCTTGATTATTGGCAGTCTCAACGACATGCTATGAGATATTAGAGAGGTTTTGCATTCCGAATTTCGGAATTATTTTCGGAATGTGGCGGCTGCAGTCGAAAAAGTAGTCGAACTTTCGGAAGTGTGGTGGCGAAAGTGCATGGTTTTCCGAAAATGGATTTTCGGCTCTTTCATGTTTGGGAGTGCATATTTGAATACAAAAAAGTGTATTTTTCATGTTTGTATTTTTTGCTTTCTGCTGCTCTCGATTATTTGAAAATTTTCCACGTATGTAGTTTTGATTTTTGCTGGTTTTGCTGCTCTCGCTGATCTCGCCATGTTGACTAATCTTCTCACACTCCATCACATTCTATCTTCCTTTGCCATGGAGCCTACTGACAGTACAAGACAGTAGTTCGCCAACCTCGTCTTCAGCTGTTGGATCACTTGGTCCACCATCAGTCCGTCCTCGTCTTCGAACCGCACCCAAATTCAGTTTGACCTGCATGGATTTGATCCTGCTCAACCCCTTCGACGCTCTCCATTTTGTTTTGCATGGCAACCCTTCGAAACGAAGTCGAATAAGATTTTCGGAATGCAAAACACTGAAAATACCGTTTTTCGGAACGCGCTTTTTTCGGAAAAGCACAGTCGAAAATTATTCCGAAATTCGGAATGCAAAACCTCTCTATTGGTAATAAAACCTGTTGACTACCACCTCCACCACTACGCGGCGCTCTTAGCCGACTGGACCCTCCCTCCTGCACACAACCATCACCACTGCGAGGACACTTCCGTAGACGATATTGATAACTCCTTCAGACAGCTGTTTCTCTAATACATAGCTCATCAGGGAAGGTAGATGCTGAATGATAAATAGAAGACCAAACTGCTATTATATAGGGTTTTTCCACTTACAAAACTGGCATAGCTGAGGTGATAACGCGGGAAAAGGAAAGTGCGAAGTACTTTTGACGCGCATGGGACATGCATGCCGCGTCAGAAATTCGGCACGGAAAACCAATCACTATGACTACCAGTGCAGAAATAATGTGCCAGAATCAGTGTACTGTGTAGCTAGTGAGAGTCTGTGTATTGCACTTGTCCAAGCGCCATGACGGCATGTAACCTCACCTCACGATCCGCCGACACCGACAGCCACAGCAGCCCCTGGGGCATGACACTGTACTGTAGTGCAATACACAGACTCTCACTAGCTACACAGTACACTGATTCTGGCACATTATTTCTGCATTGATACTAATAGTCACAGACTCATAGTGATTGATTTTCCGCGCCGAATTTCTGACGCGGCATGCATGTCCCATGCGCGTCAACAGTACTTCACACTTTCCTTTTCCCGCGTTATCACCTCAGCTATGCTAGTTTTGCATGTGGAAAAACCCTATAATATAATAGCAGTTTGGTCTTATATATTAATTTTATCATTCAACATCTACCTTCACTGATGAGCTGTGTATTAGCAAAACAGCAGTCTGAAGGAGTTATCAATATCGTCTACGGAAGTGTCCTCGCAGTGGTGATGGTTGTGTGCAGGAGGGAGGGTCTAGTCGGCTAAGAGCGCTGTGTAGTGGTGGAGGTGGTAGTCAACATTTTCTTCAATGGCCGAGAGCTCTGTCGCACCCTGTGATTAAGATAAACAATTTAAAAAAAATAACCATGGTGGGGCTCAATATGGATGAAAGTAAAAGTGAGCGCACTCATACCACGAGAACAAAGGAACAATATTTTAGGATTTGAACATCTCGTGGTATGAGTGTGCTCACTTTACTTTCATCGATATTAGGTTTCTTGTCTCCATGGCGACTTTTTAACATGGTGGGTGGGGCTGAACGGAATATGCCCAGTATTCGAATTAAAAAAAAATCTATTCAGCAATACCAAGAGTACATAACCCCCCCCAGAGTGCGCAACTTCACTTATCAGATCTGGGATGGCGAAATCCGTGTTGCACGTCATGATAATGACATCATGAGTAGGGGACGTGTGGACTGTGTTGCAACGCGTGTCCGCGTCGATGGAACGAGGCAAGTCCGACCCAAAAAACGACGTACATCACGGATTACGCCGTCCCACAACCCCATCCCAGTTGCGCACGCTGGGGGATTATGCACTCTTGGTGCTACACGTAGATGATACGAGGTATACAGTGTGAGTATTGTATTGTGAGTACAGGATTGAGTCTTTTTCTTCAGATTCTTGGCGTTTTGATCATTTTTTTTGTTTTGAGATTTTGTGTCATTATGTACCGGTAAGCATATTTGCTTTGCCCGTACAAGAGGTTTTTCTAGTATGAACATAGATCAGGCTGCGAGCAGGACTTCCAGTCATTCATTGCGTGCACTGCACAAGGTGCACTATACTGGAGTGCAGTGCGAGGATAGGAGATACACATGCAGTAAGTAAGTTGAGTCAAGACTTGCATCTGTGGAGCAAGTGCACTTCACACATCCATGGAAGCGTGGCGTGACTGCCCACAGAAAGTGAACCCACGCACATGCCCCAGTGCAATGCAGTGATGCGAGAAATTTTGTTCGTTTCAGCCCTAATTACCGGTGGGGGGGGGGGGGGGCTGGTCACATGATCAGTGACACCATTATTCCCAGGCATGATCAATCTATGTGAGGTTAAGAATAGAAAGTCACATGTGCGATGAGTGTACATAGGTCATGTGACAAGGTCCCAGTAACAACAAGCATGTCACGTGACTAATTATTTATTATGACAATGTCCCAGTAACAGCAATCAAGTCATTTGATGTATCATGTGACAAGGTCCAAGTAACAGCAATCATGTCATGTGCCAAGCCCCCCCCCCCCCCCCGAACACCAATAAAGTCTACAGAACAGAATAATACGAAGTGCAGTAGGATGCATGTTTTTCAGCTCCCGTTTTTGTATCGTTTATAGGTCGCTGTCGGGGTCTCTGACCCGGAACTTTTGTTGCAGGCATGTCTGCAAACAGAGATTCCACGACCATGGCCGCAGTAGAGAGCGATGAGCAAGAAGAGCGGTGCGGCGTATCAGATAAGCGTTTCCCCACGTCAAACTGCTGCAGCGATTTCCAAAACGCTCTGGCGGTAATAATGGACATGCTTGATGTCGAAAGAGGTGCTGCAGCAGACCATGAAAAAGGCTGATAAACCGCATTGACCTGCTAACTAGGACCTTTCAGGAGCTATCCAGATCCAGTGTGCCGAACATTCCAAATTCAGGAAGTTCAGTCAGTGAGGCCAGTTTGCAAGACTTGGAGGATTTGGACGACAGTGAAGATGCGGCTTGGCATTTGGTGACAGCCAGAAAGCCTGTCAAGAAGAGTGTTGTGTTTGTTGGCAACCTGCTGTGCGATGCCTCACCGGAGCAGCTAGCACGCTTCGTGAAGTGTCCCTCGTCGGAGTTGAAGACTCCCCCTATCAAAATTGTCGACTGTAAAGTTTTTCAGAAGCAGAAGTCGTCGTCTGTCGTCGTCTGCGAGACTGGTAGTCCATGCATCGTGCAGCAAGACGCTGTTAGATCGTCGCTACTATATTCCAGACAGTGGAATTTCGAAAAGTACTCTAGCTCTGATGTCAGTGATGATCATACCACAGAAACTACAGCATGTGACGACACGCAAGCAAATTCTGCATCTCTTTCGGCAGTGGAAACAGATTCGCACGCGCCCTCAGTCAGCGATGTCACTGAAAGCCACAGCAGTATGAATTCAGCTACAGATGACCAGCATAGCCTTTCTTAACATCTGCCGCCTATGCAGGAAGGTCGACGAAATTAAAGAATTCACGTCCAAGCATGGCGTGCATGCCATGGGCGTTGCTGAGACATGGCTAGCTGCTGATGTGACCGCTGGAGAGGTGTCTATTCCTCACTCTTCCTTTTTTCTCATATCAGTATCTTCATCATTTTGCAAGAACTGTGGTAACACACCAAGTGAGAAGGCAGATTTCGCCTGTGCCTAGGGTGAAGTAAATTAAAGCTTTTAACAACAAACAAGAAAGAGAGAGAGAGAGAGAGAGAGAGAGAGAGAGAGAGAGAGAGAGAGAGAGAGAGAGAGAGAGAGAGAGAGAGAGAGAGAGAGAGAGAGAGAGAGAGAGAGAGAGAGAGAGTGTGTGTGTGTGTGTAGACAAGACCTCCAGGGTCAGAGAGAAATCACTCACGTGATGGCAGAGCATTGGATCCAGTGCACCGACGCAGACATCATTGAAACTGTCCATGAAAGACGACCAGCAAATGAACTGCAGCTGCGGTCTGCCACAGGGATGACAATGACAAGCAGAAAACATAGCACAAGGAATGATAAAGATGAACGAGCAGGATGCGCACGTGTGCACAGTACGGCAATGCATGACGGTTAGTGATAACTGATCCAGGAACGGATCTGGTACAGCAATCAACTCGTAAGAGTGCAGAGTATTGAGAGGGACCACAACAGGTGGAATTCTCTACATAGTGCACCAACTTGCCTTGCTAGAAGACAGTGCAGTGGAAAGAGAGACTGGTTTACCTGATCACATGCTAGCTACTAGTATGGAGACAATGCAGGCTATCACGCACACTCATGCACACGCACACACACGCACACACACACGCACACACACACGCACACACACACGCACATACACACGCACGCACACACACACACACCTTCATGCAGAGTCAGAACACCACCAATGGCGTATGACAGGCATATCAAGTCAGCAGAACGGGCCAGCAGAAAACTGATTGCCAGTGCAGAACACCTGGGGAAAATACTCAGAAATGCTGAAAGCAGATACACTAGAAGACGTACTAACCGTAACAGATGACTGAGACTTTCCACATGCTGATACTCAGGCTGAAGGAGCTCGAAAATGGCTGTGTAGCCGGTGCATGCCAGAAACGATAGAAACCTGCAGGGCGAGAGAAACATTCCGCGGCCTTTTTTGATACAAGTTCTGTCATGCTTCTAGCCTAAAAGCATAACCGATACGGCGATACCACGAGTAAAATTATATGTACTAGTCCCCTGCCCCCCCCCCCCCCCCCCATTCCGTGGGTACTAAAACCTCCAAATAGTCCCCCCCCCCCCCCCAAGAGGGTACAGCTCCCAACGAAAATTCACATTGTGTGGACCACCCACCCACCCACCCACCCACCCACTCATGCACATACGCACGCAGGCTACAGCAACACACACACACCTTGAAACCTTGAAACTGCCACCTAAAGGTGATGCAGTGCCTCAAAGAGGCAAGGAGAGCAGAGTTACTTCTTGCATTTGTGTTGAGCCAGGTACTGGAGACGTGTGAACTTCCGAGAGCAGGTCGGCACACACACACAGACACACACACAGACACACACACAGACACACACACAGACACACATACACACACAAACACACACACACACACACACACAAACGCACACTGTGCTTACATAAGGCACTGGCGAGAGTCCAGCTTGTCGAGAGCGTCACAGACGGCATGCGCCACCCTCTCTGCTACCGTGTACTGCCCCTGCTTATACAGACCCAGGTCACCTGCACAAACGGGTACATACACACATACACACAGACACACACATGCACACACATGCACACACATGCACACACATACACAGACAGACACACACATACATATGCAAAGACACGCATACACACATACGCATACACACACATACACACACACACACACACTCACACACACGCACACAAATCGTGCGAGAACTATGTAGAAGTGTGCCCGTCCAGTGTCAACATTTAGGTATTTAAGTACGAGAGGCTCATACTGATACCGCTGTGCGTGGTCCATGAAGCGAAACCTCACCAATTATGAGCACCAACAGAATAGTAGCATGCAACACCCAACACCAACCAATACATCATACTGGGAAGTGATGGAGGGGGGAGTACATAAATTACTACTTTGAAGTAGTAGTCAAAACTACTTCATAGCCTAAGTCTTAACCAGGACCAATGACGTAATGTGACAGGAGGTGTCTCAGGTACAATACACACGGTAGTCTCACAAACACCACTAGCAAAACGCACTGCACAATCGAATACAGTAGACGTACGTCTGCGGCTGAAGACGACATGAACGTTCTTTGAACCAGCAATGAGCACCCATCGGCCGTGTAGGTATCGAGCTGCAAAGTGAGCTGCCTCGCCATTGGCCTTTGATGTTGCCACGACCGACTGAACTTCTGCCAATGACTGAAGTAATCCATAATTATCGGGACCGTTCATGAAGAATTATTACACACGCATGCACGCATTCGTTCACGCACACACACACACACACACACACACGCGCGCGTGCGCACACACACACACACACATTCAAATATGGCTTACTTCGGACATGCAACTTAATCAAACTTTCCAGGACCGATTTCAGTCAAAACGATTTCCACATACAATGTCTGACAATTCGAACTGGGCATGTAAGCCGAATTAGAACACACTTGAGCAAGAAATCCGGCTTTTAAATGCATGAGTACTGATCCACCTGGAACAGCTGGACATGAATCCATGAAGCAATGCATAGCCACTATTAAAACAGAGAGGTCCCAGGCTGTACAATAGAGTGCTCAATACGGAAAGGCAGAGCTAGTTACAACAAGAATAAGAGGATAAAAAAGTGTTTTAACTCCGAGTTTCATGCCTTAAGCGCGCAGTGCATGAAACTTGGAGTAAAAACACTTTTTTAATCCTCTTATTCTTGTTGTCATAGACCTTACTAGCCAGACATACCGATGAGAAGAAGTTGGCCCAGCGAGGCGCTTGCTCCTGCTCTGCACCGCCGCCACCACTCTCAGCAGCATCACCAGCAGGGGCAGCAGCCTCCTCGTCTGGCTGATCTACGAGATCGTTGTCGTCGTCGCCCAGGCCGCCGGTGAACTTGCGCAGTCCGTAGACCGTGCAGATCTGATGCCTGTCCAGCGAGTCCGCCGCTGCCGTCGCCTGACCTGGCGCCAACTCCGCGCTGGCAGTTGAATACTCGAGGAAGCAGTTGCCACGTGCAAGCTGCGAGGACAGACATGGAGAAGAAGAGCACGTGGACATGTGTTTTATCTTATTTAGATGCAGTCCCTCGACTTGACAAACACATCACGGGAAAGCCAAGCTGCATAACAGAGTGACTGCGCAGGTAATACAGGAACGGTACAGGACGCGTATCCCACGATCATCTACTGTAACTTCTCTGTAAGTCAACAAATATTTGGCGCATAATTATTTTTGGCTATTACAGTCAGACCTCGCTTAACCGCACACATCTGTTTTCCACAAAAATATCCGGATAGGCGAGGGAACCGGATAACCGAACACCAGTTATGCTGGATGCATCACGTATGCTGTAAATCTGTAACCAGCTATTTTCTTTCGGATGGCGAGGGATCCGGATAAAAGAGGACCGGATAAGCGAGGTCTGACTGTATCGGTATGGTCATGTTTGGCCGGAAATTTGTTGCGGCTGAAATGTTTTGCAAGGTTCAGTGTGACAGTGTATACAGGCGCCGCGGCAGCAGTAGAGGTCGAAAACGTGATGCGCCGAAATGGGTTTTAACTTTTAGCCCTGGGAGGCCGAAATTTGAATGGGCCGAACATGTGTAGACTTACAGTACGGTAAAACTCGCCAGGTCTGGAAGTCCCTAACTCGGGTACGTCCATCTACCAGGCACCTTTCTGACCCATCTACAGTCACAAAATGCAAATGGCATCTCAACGAAAAACGGCCCCAAAAGCTATTGATTGGCATAAAAAAATATTTACTTGCATGCAGTAAGTATGTATGTTCTGAGATACAGGCAGTTCCTAGATATGGGCAGTAGACCTACTCGGTCCCCACCTGCCCAGGCTAGGGGAGTTTTACTGTATTTATTTTCTCTCCGAAACTCAACACTTCCAAGCCAGGTAAGCAAGAGAGAAAAAATCAATAGACACGCGCCACCAGGACTCGAACAAGGTGCTTTGTTATTGGCGAGCAATGCTCTAACCAACTGAGCTCCAGTATACAGTCAGGCATAGTGGGATGGCCTATAAAAATATAAAGACCATAATAATTGAGAAACAGGTTCAAGTCCTGCTGGAAAGCGGAAGGATTTTCCCCAGCCGTGCTGCGACCTGCAGTTCATTGGGAACTCGTGGACTGGCACGAGGGACATGGATACCGGTGATGAAGGTGTACAGTATTTCTCCAATTATAAGTCGCACCCCATTCCAGGTTTGGGCCGAATTGCTTCAATAGTCACATACATGTAGGTAGGATTTCGCACACGATTGTAAGTCGCAACCCCTTCTTTACCCTTTTAGTTTAGTGTAAAACGGTGTGACTTAGAATCGGGGAAATACAGTGCATTTTACACGCGTAGCTCACTTTGTCGCGCAGTTCTTTATGCTCTGCGTACACTGCATCGTCGGTGAGGGGTCCGCGACGACGGCGGTCGCCTTGTCCCCCCTTGCCTGGCTTCGGCGGCTGCACTCTGAAGTCGGTCAGTCTGGCGTCGCGGCACTCAGCTGGCAGGATGCCGTCCGGTATCTCGTGCTCGTTGCTGCGAATCAGCTGGTGCAGCGGGTTCTCCCCATCACGTGCCCATGACAACCATCTAAAGCCAGAGAAGTAGAACAGATACATGCATACGTGTACAGGTGCTGTTGCCGGGGAGATTCGGGAGTCGGGATGAAAACTAGATCATCATGCATGTTATTCGAACGGATGGAAACATTGTTTGCAATACAATTATCGCCTACATCATTGTATTGCAAAAACGTTTCCAGCAGTTCGAATAACATGTACGATGACCAAGGCAAAAAAAAGCATAGTGAGGGCCCTGAGCTTTCAAGCTCTCTCGTATTATGCCATGAGGCCCATGACAATAGCTTATTTCATTTGTTCTATCCTGTTTTATTTTTCAACCCATAACCTTGGTTCGAACCAGCACTATCGCCCTGCGCTGCATGCATTCCCTCGATACACTTCGAATACATTCACATTCTACCAAATTGCTTCACGTTGTGATCCTGCAGTTGAAAGCCCTATTCCAAGATGTGGCCAGCAGTCTTTGCCGGCACGGCACGGGACATGTACGGGATAGGGCCAGACATGGTGCGTCACGTGATGACGCCCCTATGCCTACGGACCGCAGTCACCGCACACCGAACAAGTTCGGGCCTGATCACGTCTCTTCTCCTGTCGACTGGATGCCTGTTCAGCGGTCTCTTGCTGTCGACACATCTTGGCATGAAGTCGGCAAGTCTCCAAACGACGGGATGTTTGCTCCATTGCTCTTGTTGTCGACGTAGCCTTTCGCGAGCACGGCGACTCTCGAGGCGGCGGGACCTCTCTTCTCCCATCTTCTACTCTCTGTGCAGGCACTCCTGCCGACACCGTCTGCTCAGAGCTTCGACTTTGAGCTTTACACAGGACAGGGTTTGACTGAAGGCGGCTTGGTGCACGATGTCGTGATGAGACTAATTGATAGCTTGAACGGTACACAGCACGTTATCTTCACAGATAATTTTTATTCCTCCGGCAAGCCGGCAGCATCTCTCCAAGCAAAGGGCCTGCACCTCGTAGGTACGATGCGGTCAAACCGACGTGGGTTTCCAGCCGCATTGAAGCAGGATACGAAAGCCTTTGAACGTCGTGCTGAGCGTGGCGCCGCAAGATACGTCAGAGACAGTGCTGTCCTTTATGAACAGTGGAAGGGCAAACGCTGTGTGTCCATTCTGGCAACGGCCCACCGCAGCGATGATTTTTGCTACTGTCCGCCGTCACGGGAAAGATGCACATGGTCATCATGTCCAGCTTGAAGTCCCCCTGCCCAAGTGTGTGAGTGACTACAATCACTCAATGGGTGGGGTTGACTCATTTGACCAAATGGCTGAGACTTACCGCACTCTGCGACGTACCAGGAAGAGCTGGAAAAGTACGTTCTATGACATGGTGGACATCGTGGCGATAAACTCTTTCCGAATGTTCGAGATTCGGAAAGCCGCAAACCCAGATGCAGTGACCCGTGCCAAACGAAATCCGCACAACACATTTCAGGAGCAGCTCATGTGCCAATTGTCTGGCATCGACGTCGCTGAGCCACCACCGCAGCGGCAATACCACCAACAGCAACATGACCCATCTCACCTGCCGGCTGGCAACATGCATATTGTCAAGTTTGACCCAGCAAGGAAGAACTGTGTGCTGTGCTATGAGCTTGACAAGAGAGAGAGAGGAAGTGCTCCACCTACTGCAAGGTGTGCAGGCGCGTGCACCGCGTGGTTTTCTTGGAGCCCGGAAACCACCTTTTTGCGGCCAGCGATATTTTTGCTCATGCGCAACATGCGCTCGCACCTAGTACCTGTGGTCGACAGACTCATCGCAACAATGTGCCAGCAGCCAGTCCTTTGGAATACTTCAGGAAGTCCATCACATACCCACTCCTGGATGAGCTCGACGGCCAATTCACCGCCAGGTTCTCTCATCACCAGCAAGTAGCATCAAGAGGCTTGAATCTTCTACCGAGTTCCATACGCCAACAACCAAGCAGCGTTGATGAAGCGATGGAGTTCTGCAGGGAGCACGAAGAGGATCTACTATCGCCCAATTTCCCTCTTGTCCTGTATTTCCAAACTTTGCGAACGGCTCTTCTTCAATCAATTATATAATCATATTTCTCCAGCTCTGGATCCCGCGCAATCTGGGTTTCGTCGTGGTGACTCGACCGCTCTACAGCTCACCAAGCTGATCCAAAACATTGCCGACCATCGTCATATGGGGCGGAAAGTTGCCATGTGCTTTTTCGACCTCGAGAAAGCTTTCGACACCGTGTGGCACCGTGCATTACTTGCTAAACTTTCCAAAGTTTTCGGTGTGTGTGGCGCAGTGCTGGAGTGGATTACAGACTACCTATCCGGCAGAACGCAAGTTGTCTTTGTAGGTGGACTTCTCTCAGATGCTTCACCTGTTCTGTCCAGAGTGCCCCAGGGATCCATCCTAGGGGCTCTCCTTTTCCTAGTGTATATTAATGATCTTCCCAGTCATGTTCAAGGCGTGTCCCTATTTGCTGACGATACTGCACTGCTCCGGTTCAATGAGTGTCTAGACAGGCTGCGAGACAGTCTCCAGCGTGGTATCAACGAAGTCCATCAGTGGATGACTACCTGGAGACTAAGACATAATATCGCCAAGACTGAGATATTATTCCTGCCGAACTCAGAGCCAACCTACGCATTCACTCTTCCCGGATCCCTCACAGACCTCACAGTGGTAAAGCAACACAAGCATCTTGGTTTGGTCATTGACTCAGACTTATCGTTTAGTAGACATGTCGACTATATCTGTAGCAAAGTCAGTAAAGCTGTTGGCTACCTCGTGTCTCACTGCTCCACCTACCGCTTGAATGCATTCGCCTTTTTTATCATTGCTATATTCTCCCCATTTTTCTCAATTGCTCAACCGCCTGGTCATCCCTACTAAGTAAATCGTTAATGAGTACCCTGGAAGTCCACAATAAGAGGATACTGAAAGTCCTTTTCCGCAAACCATCATACTTTCCTTCTGCCGAGCTGTATGATATGTTTAACACCTTCCCCATCTCTAGTCAAGCAGATCGAAAACTGTGTATTGTTGTTCATTCTATTCGTCTTGACAAAGCCCCGCCACACTTGCGTAAATATAACTGGTTTATTCCCACTCGTCCTACGCGTAATCCCTGCACTTTGCCTAAAGCCCGAACATCAGCTTATACCAGATCTCCGTTTTTCGCTGCCTATTCTTTCTGGCTGGCCCTGCCCCTCTCAGCAAAATCGTCTTGTACGCTAAATGATTTCAAGGCCAACATGAAGCTCGTGTTCTAATAACTGCTACTTCTTCATCGAGATTTGTTTCTCTTGCCTCCAGTAACGTGTAATATTAATTTTTTTGCTTTGTTTTTGTTTACTGCCATGGCTGGCTACCGCCCCCCTCCCTCCATATTGGCCTATATTCTCTGGCCACGGGAAGGTGAGATAAATAAATAAATCTACCTGTTGATCAAAGTTTAGCAACACTGGAAGCAGAGCTGTCACGGTGGGTACTTCTGATAAGTAAGCTTCCTGAGTCTGAAGTTCCTGCCAACATTCCGGATGCCCTTGTCCTCGCACGAAAGAGCTTGTTTCCCTGCATCACTCGCCTGCTGCAGCTGGTTGCAGCCTGGCCTGTCACTTCAAATTCATGTGAGAGATCCATCAGTGCCCTTCGTCGCAAACCTACTTGCGAAGCACCATGTCGCAGAAACGCCTGTGTGAACTGGCTCTTCTCCACACACACTACCGTCATGCCGTGGACCCCGAGTCTAATATCAAACGGTTCCTGGCACTGAGGCCAAGAGCGATTGTTGCCCCTGGCTTGATGGATGAAAAGGTGGCGGCTGACAGTCACAATGAGTCAGACAGTGACACGGATTGACCTGCTTCTTTGACTCACTTACTAGCAAGAGTGTCTGAATCTTCCTGAAGTAGTCTTCTCCCCCTGGCCCCCGCCACACAACAACCCAAACTCTTGATTATATCTTCAATACTTATATTCTATCAACAAATGGTGAGGGCGCAGGAGGAGAGAGACATACTTGGTGAGGACAAAACCACGACGGGAAAGACTCCCGGGAAAAGACTCTCCGAAAACAACAAAGAACAAGCAGTAATAAACCGGCGACAAATCGAGACGACCAATCAGGGACCAACACGTACAGAACACATGACCAAGACCAAGACAACCAGACCACGGACGAATCACACATGACTCTCATTCCCAGACCAAACTAGCACTGCGCATGTACAGCATTCACTTGACAGTCACTCTCACACAGACGGAAGCACATCCTCACACTCTGACAACGCGTACTCTTGCATGCACCACATACCATAAACGTCACACATCACACCATACTCGCACGTCCACTTAGACCATATATGACATCAGACACTGGACTCCACAAGACAAGAACCAAATACAACAACATGCGTAAATCATAGTCGTACTGAAGTAATACAAATTCGCAACATTCCTTCACTACTTCGAACTACTTGTATAACGTCGGCTAGCCTATTCATTTATCCTGTGTCAGGAAAATGCCTTTGTACCACATTTATTTTGATGGCGGCGGGACTGGCAGCCATAACTTTTAAAACTTTCTTTCAGTGTGTAATACTGCTGAATCTGCAGGTAGCTTATTGCAAAATGGCGGTCGAAATTGTTTTGGAAACCACCTTTTTTGATCCGGTGCACGCGCCTGGTGTGCAATGCCTTTCTCCATGTCAACCGTGACTGGGACTGCTTCGATCGCTACCACGCCATGAAGCTTGCGTGAAACCCCGTCAAGTCAGTCAAGTCAGTGAACTGATACTTACCCATGTTCCTGTTCCTACAGTTGCTACAATAGAGCTGCAAGGATTTGCATAGATAAATTTCTGAACCTACACACAAAAAAGATATGGTGAACTCGGAGGATCGTATTCTTTGCTATTCTGTTATAAACCCTTGCATTTGGCCAATTTCCCTTCATCCCATGGTGCTGAGAGTGCATGCAATGAATTCTCTGGGGTCAAAACCTACAGAACACATGTTACATATCACAATTCTGTAAGGTTACAGAGTTATGAACTACTAAACACAAACAGTCGGAATTGACCAATATAGCCCTTTCCAGTGGTCACGCGGCTCCAAAGGATTAAAATACATAAAACTCTCCTTCTCCATGCGCTCTAAAACCAAACTTTTAGAGCACATGGAGAAAGAGAGTTTTATGTACAGTGCTGGCAACTGAAATCCGACCTCTCAGCGATGCGTTCGCATTCTAGCGGTGTCTATTTCGCAGTTTTACTATCCCATGTTGGGTCTTTGCGATGTGAGCTCAGGGGTCGGATTTCAGTTGAATAAGACAAGCTGAATCGACATTTGTGTATACTTTATTCATGCAATCAAGAGTGCATAACGAAATGTGATAGCCGAAAATTAAAATTTCACACAAAACCTCACAATAATCACACACATAATGAAAAGCTACAAGACCTTTCCCCTCGTTATACTCTTTCCCATGCACTCTTGATGCAATGTAAAACTTGTCTTGTTGATCGCGGTTATCAAAAATAATTATTGTCTCCTCGGCCTCGCCGTTTGTTCAAATTTTGTTTTATTTTTATGGAAATGAATAGTTGAGTTAATTCGTTCAGAAATCTAACCTTCGTGCACTATCCTGCTCACTAGCAGCAGCTAAAGTATCACAAGGCGATGATAGAGATGTGCTATGATCACCGAGACGTAACGAGAATAGCTCCACTGCGTTTTCTCGCACGTTGTCCGGTGCGTCTTTCATCGGTGAGGAGAGGAGAAATTCTCGGAACACATCCTCGGTAGTTACGGGTGCCGTGTCTCCCAAATCATCACTGAAGCAAGGGCCTGCAGCAGATGCCATTACTAATGCTTACGCTGACCGAATATTACTTTGATTGCGGGTCAGGTCCCTTCTTCGTTCATTCTCCATTCCCTCTTGCAAGTTCGAAAGTCTTTTCAAGAGGATTTGATTTTCGAACTGTTTCAAACACACATGCAATATTAAAAAAGTAATGACATGACCTTCACGCACGCCTCGGCCACGTGTGCATGTGTCACATTGAAAAACAAACAGATGTACTACTACAGTCAACTTCGCTTATAACGACACTCGGCGGGGCATCAAAAAAGTGTCCTTATTCGCGAAGTGTCGTTATTAGGCCTCCGCGGAATATGCTCGTATTTTTACCGATAATTCTTTTGAGCATTGCTCAAAATTTCGACCGATTATTCCCGAAATTCCACCAATAATTCTCACAATAATTCTTTTTTTCTTCCCTTTTTTGCAGATACCGTGCCGCGTACGGGTTTTTTGCCACTTGTACGGGCAAAAAAATCACGGTTCGCGTGAAACTCGGCTGGAAGCTTTTTTTTCTTTCTTTTTTGAAATACCGGGCGATCAACTAAGGATCATGATCTTTTTGGTACAAATCAGGGTGTTATAAATGGAAAAAAATTGAAAAAAGGGGGGCATTGCTCAAATTTTACCGATTATTCCACAAAAATTGCCAATAATTCCCGTTTAAAAAATCACACCGATAATTCCCGAAATTATGCCGGCACATTCCGCGGAGGCCTAGTCGTTATACCCGAAGTCTCATTATGTATTACAGTTGGAAGGGACTTTGCTCTGGGCACGGAAATGCTGTCGTTATTCGCGAATTGTCGTTATATCCGCAGTCGTTATTAGCGAAGTTGACTGTACTCGATCGTAGCTGGATCTGATCATATTGTGCAGTGTCATCCATGATGTAGCATCGGTACATGAGTTTTTGCCATACCAGTACGAGTACTAGACTGTCTGCACTCTGCATTCACTATTATTAGTATTAATTTTCAAGTATTTGGGAGTATTAAAATATCAAGTATCAAGACTGCCCCCCCCCCCCCCCCCCCTACACACAAACACACAGGATAAAGGCATAGCCAGTATTAGGCTGTGTTTACATGAGACATTTCAACCCGGCCGGGTCGAGTTCAGCCCGGGTTGAAAGTCTGTACGATAGACAAAATAGGTGAGCGTTTACATGAAAACAGTTGACCTGGGTCAAATACTGATATGCCGCCAAAATAATTCCACTTCTAGAGTCCTGTATGGTCACGTGAATCCTTTCGCGCAAAATTTGCATGTGCAGTGCTGTTCAAACCTGGCGCGAGATACGCACAGAAGTACGTAGTACGATATCTTTGACCCGGGTTGATTTCAACCCTCCCCCAAGGGGAGGGTTGAAATCAACCCGGGGCGAAATTTCAACCCGGGTCAAGCGCAATGCGTCATGTAAACACGCCATTCATTTTGTGTGCATGGCGGGTTGAAATCTGACCCGGGTTGAAACGCCTCATGTAAACATAGCCACACACATGCACACCTCACTGGTGCACTTGTAGCTTCTCCATTCCCTCATCAGTCAGCAAAACAATTTTAAAAATTTAATTTTTTTTTTGAAAGACACACATCGAGGTACGTAACGTTGCTTTGCAGGGACAATAAAAAAAATAGGGTTGATAAAAAAAAAGCAGCAGTGTGCATAGCCGGCCATAGGCATAGGCATAGGCATAGCTATAGTATAGGTGTGCACAATCGAGTAAAAAGAGATAATTATAGATTGCAGGGGGGGGGGGGGGGGGGCAAAGACAAAAAATTAATAATAATTCTCAGAATTTCTGACAGCACAAAGTCCATACGGCGGCATAGGTCCAACAGCTGATTTGACAGGATAGGTCTGCTAAGGACTGACAAGAAGTGGATGCTTATGACTGTATGATCAACACAAGAGGTGTACTGGGGTTTTTTAGTTTTTTTTTACTTGAAGACGCAACCCAAATAGACTGCACATGCAGGCTAGCAGTCGTGGCAGTCAAAGCGACGAGGCCATTGCCATTGATAAGCTTGGCTACAGGGTTGAGGCAACGAGCATGCCTGTGCGAGTATCTGGGTTGGCACAGCACACTGCACAGCTTCGACATTCCCAGAGACATCATCCATTGTACGATAGTGCGCATATACTTCAGAGGGCACAAGGATTGCTGCTTGAGCTGGGGAGCAAGGCAGTTACATGTACCAGGTTATAGGGAATGCCGTTGCCATCGCTTGTGTTGCCTGCCGGTGGACGTCTGGCGGGAAGCGATTGAGATTTCCCTGACCACCTTGCTGTTCCCTCTACCACGGCCGGCAATGCCTCGACCACGGCCACCACCACCGCCTCGGCCACGACTAGCGCGTATGCTTTGAAACTGCTGCTGCTGCCGCTGCTGTCGCTGTTGTTGTTGCAGTTGTCGCTTTTCTCTGATGGACGAAGGACTCGCGACGGGCGACTGTCCTGTGCTATTGCTGCGGCGGCCAACATCTGGAAAGCTACGACTGCGGATGACGGCAACCTCCCGCGCAGGTGCAATGGCATCTTGGATCGACTGCCACACGTGACTCGTACGCAGCAGCTTGCCGCGACCAGTCTTTCGGCCAGTAGCAGCAGCCGGCGCAGCTTTGGAAACTTTATGGGCAACGGTCGCTTGCTTCCACGGCCGTCTGCGCAGGCCCGCAGCCTGCTGCTGCTGTTGTTGTTGTCGACCTGGTCCTTGTGTCCCTCGCCATTGCCTGGGAGCGTTGCGGAAGTTCTGTGCATGCAGTGTTGTAGCACTAGCGACGGTGTTCGCTGCTGCTGCAGCGCCTCGACCTCGGCCTCTCAGCTGACCACGGCCACGGCCACGTCTCTGCACCGCTCCGCTGACTCCCGAAGCAGCTGCTGCCGCCAGCTCACCTCGCATCAGCGGGTTGGAGGGCTCATTCAATGCATAACCGCTGTTGTTTGTTGACGCAGTGGTGGCAGCCGTCTTGCGATTGCTCTTGGCTGCTGCTGGTGCTGCTGCAGCTGCTGGTGCAGATACATTACTGTACTTGCCCACTGGTGGTTGATAGGTTTGCGGTGCAGAGCGTTTCGCTGCCTGCAGACCGTCTTCAGAGTATGCAGGCCGCTTTCTGGACACACAACGCGCACACACACATGCAGACAAGCACGTACATTGCATGCACACATACCGGCACTGGAGAATGAGCAAAGTACCACTGGGACTATATACACACGTGCATGTAAGCGGTACGCGCATTGACATACACAACTAGTGCAGGCCGTATTCCTAGGCACTCCAAGCCTCCACTATGTTGTTTGGTGATTGGCCCGATTGCCACTAAACTCATTTGCTGTTCACACACATACATGTTGCATTGGAAGAGCTGAACGATGGAACTTTCCGGGAGTTTTGTACACTCAATCCTGAGTTTGAGAACACGCTTGTACGAGTTTGCACTGGACTCTCATGCAGGTTAACATGTGTCTATGTTGTTTTTTCTTAATGTGCGCAAGCTCCACTGCAGCCACTTCATTAAAATGTTTATTTTTTAATATTTTTTAATAACAACAGTATACTGCTAGTACTCACTGGACTGTGATGGGAGTAAGCTGATGTACAAGATTTTCCTACATAACACACCACAACACACCACCAGCACACCAACATACAGGTCATGCCAGTATAAAGCAGATAGACTTTAACCCCAGATATAGCGTGATTCCCCATTGTCGTCGCGTGACTAAATTTGTGTAGAAAGCGATTATGGCATGTGAACGGTGGAACCGACATTGCCGACTTTTAATACGTGACCCATTGATAATACCGCAAGGTTTGACTGGAGTAGGAACCAACATGGCTGTGTCATACAGCCATGTGATAGATGTGAAACCACTCCATTCATATTCCCGTGTTCTGCCAGCAAAGAACATTGTGCTGAAAAGATTTTTTTTAATGAAAAGAAGATAATCTTCAGGGTGCCCATGCTCCACTGTAGAGTCCTGATCAATGAATTCCGATCGTGCGAGCCAATGCCACACCGCACGCTGTGCATCCCTAGACCTGCGAAGACTGGGATGTGAACTGGTGCAGGGCGATACATTGACTCACACGATCTGAATTCATCGAGCAGCACCGTACCTTTCTCACGCATACAAGTAGCAGAAGGGGCCAAAACAAGACTTGAGTTCTACACAGGGAATAGTGATTGTTATGCTATTTCGTCTACTACATGATGCACGCATGTATGTGTACATGCCGTGTATTTGTTGCTCCTGGAATGGATCCCTTAGCCCTAGGTCTGTACCTACCTTGTTAATGGAAGCAGGCAGCAAATCATCCTTGTACACGGGTGGGTTCTTGAAGAAAGCCTGAAAAGCAAAGAAAGGGTAGCATCACCAGGGGCGTGCTCGGCCCCCCAACTAGGGGGGTGCACGGGAGCCGAGGGGAGCCCCCCCCCGGCAATTTTCTGCAATTTGTTTGCAACCTTTCTTGAATTTTAGAGCATATTTGCATACATTACAATTGCAATTACCCAGATTGAAATTTTTTGGGGGGTGCACGTGCCCCCCGTGCCCATCGCCGAGCACGCGCCTGATCACCAGTGTAAGAGATACATCATGCCAGCACAGCCAACGAATACTCAGCACAAGTCGTGATCCGTTATGTTCAGATCTTATTCACTCACATTGGTACTGACATGAGAGAGAGAGAGAGAGAGAGAGAGAGAGAGAGAGAGAGAGAGAGAGAGAGAGAGAGAGAGAGAGAGAGAGAGAGAGAGAGAGAGAGAGAGAGAGAGAGAGAGAGAGAGAGAGACAGAGAGAGAGAGAGAGAGAGAGAGAGAGAGAGAGTTGTGAACAGCCAGAATGCCTACAAACACACAACAATCAATTGGGGTAGCTGCAAGTTGTAGTTGGTTAATACACAATGAACTTTACACCACAGTACAGCAGTAACAGGGAAAAGCTACCCTAACGCCATACTCTAGAGCAGGGAAGAGAGACTAGGTGTATAATCAACTGCATAGTCGACTGCATAGTGCTACGTATCATCACATGCCTTTGAGCACGGCAAGCAGGAGAGCGCAAACACGGTGTGGAGCGTCTGTTTGACACTTTCTACTTTCAGATCACCCCTACCAAATCTCATTGTGTATTTGCGCATGGTGTAAGAGTATATGTGACAATGCAACAGGGATGCAGAAGCCCACTGTACACCATCAGAACAGAGACGCAGCGTACGCGTATGCGTGTGGCGAGCATTCCTGACTTACTTTGATGATGGTACTGATGCTCTGACAAGCCAGCAGTGATATCTGATTGGACTGTAGGGTCTGTGTATGGGCAATAACATGTCACAATACACCACAAGTCAACCCAGACTATAGAGAGATAGAGATCACACACGCCCCCACACACAGTGCCCCACCCCCAAGCAAAGTGACAACCAGGCACCATCCCTCCACGCAGCACAGTTCTTGAGCGAGTCAGTGGTTAGATTCCGCCGGCAAGCACCGTAGAAAACAGCAACACATTGGTAAGTGCAGGGAAACAGCATGCGATGCCGTCAACCCCTCTCCATGAACTGACTCAGAACTACAATAGAGCAGCGAAGTGCACGCCGCTAGCACGCACACATGCTGTTACACCGCCAGCTAAAAGTCAGGCATTAACGCCAGCACACAAAATCACAAGCAAGGGCACTGCTTTGTCGCTTTGAGGGGAAGCATGCACTGGGGAAATACTTACACTATCGCCTCGAATGACAGCAGGGGGTTTCCCCGCCAGACTGGCCCTCAGTGATTTCTGTTCCGACATGGCCTTGACACCAACAAGTTGAAGCCTTGCCAAAAGAGGAAAGAACAATACGCATACCAAATTCAGAGAGGAGCTGTACAGCTCAAAGTAGGTAGAACATACACACCAGGTTACTGCTATAAAATATTCTGCTCTCTCTCTGTCTGTCTCTGTCTCGTGGTATAGTTAACCATTGTCCATGTCCCAGCTTCAACACACAGTGTAGGTGCATCTGTTATAACGAAATTGGGCCATAAAGAACTAATTCTCCTGCACAATGGTGTTTGCCATATCGGGAGTCGACTGTACTCGGCGTAGCGTCTTGACGTGTGTCCGCATCGCCCTTGTTCTCTTTCTTGCGTTGTGGGCTCTGGGGTAGCTCATGGTATGGTGAATCATGCGTGTGGTGTGTGTATACGTGTAGGTTTCGCTGTACAGTCAGACCTCGCTTATCCGGTCCTCTTTTATCCGGATCCCTTGCCATCCGGAAGAAAATCGTTGAATACCGATGTACAGCATATGTCATGCATACATACAGTATGTGTGTTCGATTTTCCGGTTCCCTCGCCTATCCGGACATTTTCGTGGAAAATGGATGTGTGCGGATAAGCGAGGTCTGACTGTAATGCTACATGTACACAGTGCACGTTGTTCCAGCTCTGACTGCACTGTTGGTGTGCACGATATTCCGGCACTTCCGCACCAAGGCTTGCGTTCCACGCACAAATCTGGTCCTACAGTGCTCCTCAATGAAATCCGATCAAGCGAGGGAATGCAACGTCGGGCGCCGTGCAGCCCCCGGACATGCGAACACAGCGGGGGTGAACTAGTGCAGGGCGCAGACTTCGTACACGCGATCAGATTTCATTGAGCAGGACAGTACAACTCAAGGTTCATGAGCCATGGCGTGCCATAGTTAGCTAGAGATTTGCACACAGCGTCTTCCTTAGCTCACCGTTGTCGGAGTAGTACCAGGCGAGATTGAGCAGCTTCATCCTCTGTGAAGTAATCGGGGCACTGCACACAACAAGCGACAGCCATTGCAAAAAGGCAAAGGCAAACAGAAATCGTGATGAGAAAGAACAACCAAGAGCAAGCAAGCGGTACACCTTCTGGAGCGTCGTATCGGCAGTTGCGCTGGGCGAAACCTGACCCAAAGTACAAAGCTTGCGCCCCGCACTAGTTACGATTACATCACGGTGTGTGCACTGAAGTACATGCGTACTCCCAGCAGTGGCTACACCACTCCCAGGGCTTCAAGGGCCATGGAAGCCAAAGGTGCCACATACCAGTACTAGTATGCACTTTGGGCAGGATTTCATCTAGAAAACCGTACTGCGGGGCTGAACACCTGTTGCACACAGCTCTGCTTACTCTATTATCCATACAGCTATAACAGGCCATTCACAAGACGTGCAAACACATGCACACGTGTACATGTGACCAAGAAGTCACTTGCAAACCGTGATCCAGTTCACACGGTGCTGCCTGTGCATGCATCCAAGGCCGCCACACCAAGCCTAAGACGTACAAGAACGGAGTCCATTCATACAAAATAATCCTGTTGGCTTTGGAAAGCCCAATTTTAGCTGAATCGAGGTTCAAAAACCCACATAAATTCGATTTTTCAGTTTTGAATCTCCTTCTCCATACATTTTGCTACGGCATACCTATCCTGATTTGTTGAACCTGGATCACCGGTATTCACGGCACCCATAGTCCAATGGTTTGTATGTTTTCTCCTATGAATACATGTGGATGTACTCCGATTGCATATTATAGAGGATGAAACTCGAGTCGCAAATGAATTCTTGGTAGATTTATCGTTTCACCGCATTAGTCTATTCACAAGCTTGAGTGGATGGAAAGGGGGACAAAGTCTGAAGAAACAATCGGATGCCGCCGCCAGGACTGGCCTTCGCTATAGCCTAGGCCAGCAGTGCTCTAACCACTGAACTATGGCGTGCATGTAGCTGTCAACCAAGCAGCGACCGTTCAACTCCCTCTTCAGACTTCTGCACTACTAGCATACTAATTACATGTATATCGGTATACCCAGTGCAAGATGCATTCCTGCAGTCCTGGCCAAAGAAATTCGACATCATGAATAAAATAACACCGGGAACTACGCCGCCGTAGCCCGACACACACTGCCCCGCACACTCGAGCGCTGCGCTACTTTATTCCCGAGGCCGAGTTTCTGCGGCCAGAACAGCAATGAAAAACATCAAAGGCGGGCAAAGGCAGGCGGTCACTGCGAACATACTTTGCACACAGTACTGTAGAGGCAGGAAATTTCGTCGGTCAATAATTTCGTCCAACTCCAAAGAAAGGGATTTCGCCCGGTTGAAAATTTAGTCCATGGACTGCAACAGTATATTGAAACGCTGGACAAATCGACATTCGTCCGGCATTTAATTTAGTCCCAAAGCTCCTTGGCCGAAAAAGACGAAATTAAATTCCAGACGAATATTTCTGCTTGTACAGTACACTACAGCAGTAGAGCGCACAGTTCAAGAGCACCGGGCACTGCACACACGCACCTTCTTGCCGAGCTGATGAAGGCTGTAGAGGAGGCACTCCGTGACTTTGTAGTCGACTGGCTGCTCACTTGCCTTGGATACAGCAGCAGACGCCTGACTGTCGCCACCGCTAGGAAGTGCAGGCAAGTGTGTCTGTGATGCAAAGAAAAGAAAGAACCCAAGGCTTACACACACATTACTACAGTTGTGCTCGGTGAAATCCGACCCAAGTTGAATATTTGGCGCCCTCAACTTGCACGGCCCTCAACGCCCTGGAAGAGGTACGAACGGGACTGGACGTACATATGTACAAGTACAGCGGCGTACCTGTAACTGGTCCAGGGTGTCAGTTTTGTACTTTGGGTCGGATTTCACCGAGCGCAACTGTAGTTGTACCGTAACATTCGTCATGGGGAACACACTAATAAGAGAACAGCCTGTCCTAGGGAGTTGCACATACATTGTACATGTATGTGCAACCTCCCGCCCGGCTGGCTGCACAATCACTTCAGCCAGAGCTGCTCGGCAGTACTGACACAGAAACGAAGATGCATACGGAGTGTTGAGAGTGACAGAGACTATTACTGACACAGGAACGGCGGGGATCGGCTCGCTGCAGAGCAGACTCTCTTGCACGGCACACTACTCACCATGATTGCGTAATACAGCGTGCCAATGATGGCCAGGCTATCGTCCGCCGATGGCGGGATGCAGCAAAGCGACGCAAGCCACTGGTACAGGTCCACCTTGCTCTTGTCGCAGGCAACACCAGCGAACAGCGCCACATTGGAGACGTAGTACTCGGTGAATTGCAATGCTGCCGCTCCACGCTGTTGTCCGCACGCCCAACACGTGTTCATTCAGAAACGATACAAGCACATGCGCACACCCACACCCACACACACACATATACATACACCAACATGATTGTGCACACAAACACCATACATGTATGTAAGGCATTCTGCAGGGGGACATGCAATCAACTGAACATATCGACAAGTCACTAGCGACCAGAGGACAACATTCGTAAGTTTGAGGGAGTTGAAAATATCAAATAAAAATTGATGGGCCATGATCAAATTTTTGGAAAATGGCACATGTACAGCAAGTTATTCAGAGAGAGAGAGAGAGAGAGAGAGAGAGAGAGAGAGAGAGAGAGAGAGAGAGAGAGAGAGAGAGAGAGAGAGAGAGGGGGAAAGAGAGAGTGCATGTGATATGAGTAAAGCTTTGTATTTAAAAGTAGACCATCTCAAAAATTAGCTGGTTTACAGCAATTGAAATATCGTAAAATCCCTAGAAATACATGCATAAGCCATGAACACACTCCATCACGTGTGCCATGATCCTGCCTACAGTCAGACCTCACTTATCCGCTTCTCTTCTATCCGGACCCCTCGCCATCTGGAAGAAAATCGTTGGTTACCGATTTGCAGCTTATGCCATGCATACAGACAGTATGTGTGTTCGATCATCCGGTTCCCTCGCCTATCCCGGATATTTTCGTGGAAAACGGATGTGTGCGGTTATGCGACGTCTGCCTATACTTGTATTCTGCAGTCTATAAGGCCGAGTAAAAAAAATTACTAGATGATCGTCCTTTTTTTTGGAAAAATCGGGGAGGGCGGGAGGATTTTATTTTTATTTTTTTACTTTTTACCCTCTCATGCACACAGTGTACACAACAACATCAAGGTTTTTTTTCTCTTTTTTTCTTTTTCTTTCTTCAGCAGATCGATACTGACGTTGTGATATACTAGTAGTATGTGGTCCATATAGTAAAGAAAGTATTAAACAAAGCGTGCACATGTTTCCTGCATCCGCGATCGGTAAAAAACCAACGATTTCGGCAAAAACTCACGATTTAAAAAATAAAATATTTCTTGGGGCGCTGACAAAAACTGGGGCGGACGGGGACGATCATCTAGCTTTTTTTTTTACTTGGCCTAATGAGTGAAAACACGACTAGCAGGTGGCAGGTGGTGTACAGCAGCACACTTACCCGGATCGAAGGCAGGGCATTGCGAGTGCAGACAAGCAGACGGTCGACAGCATCAGCGTTACTTGCCTATAGAGCATACATGCAAACAAACAGACACACCCACACATGCACACACGCCCACACACACGGGCGGGCACACGCACACACACACACACACACACACACACACACACACACACACACACACACACACACACACACACAAACACGCACATATTTGCTCTGCTGCAGGCTAAACTATGATATTCACCATTTACTGCTCATGGTTCATTACTACAACTCAAAACTTATACAGTAACAACATGCATCAGTTGTCATAACACTGCTCGCAGCATCGGGATTGTGTGAGGTAAACTGCCATTTTCTCGAATACCAGATCACTTCACGAAAAATTGACAATTTGCTTGTCAAATAGTGGGCAGTGGTGTGTGTGTGTGTGTTTAGGGAAGTGGTGTGACCTCCACCACATGACGCACTAGTACACCACACTCGGAGTGAGTTGCTGTAGCTCTCTCTCTCTCTCTCTCTCTCTCTCTCTCTCTCTCTCTCTCTCTCTCTCTCTCTCTCTCTCTCTCTCTCTCTCTCTCTCTCTCTCTCTCTCTCTCTCGAGAGAGAGAGAGAGAGAGAGAGAGAGAGAGAGAGTGCTCAATGCACCTATACACAGGAACTGAAGCTTCATCGCTGCAACTCTTTCTTGCGCTAGCAATCATCAGACAGTGCTACATGTATCTCCGAGTTACAGCCTACAATAAAGCTTTAATTCCCTTCTCAGCGTAAATATGATATGCATGACTGTACAGGAGACCACAGAGGTTGCACGAATACGTCATCATGACATCATCACATGCGGTGCTTTGCATAGAGTGGTATCACAAGCACTGGTTTTCCAACTTCCACTCCATGCAAAGCATGCAGGATGATGTCATTCCCAGCAAAGCTACGGCTGGGGGCATACACACTAACCAAGCAATGGACACACTCGCATCGAATGGCTCGTGTAGGCAGGCACATGCGTTGCTTTGCATAGAGTGGCATCACAAGCACTGGTTTGCCACTCGTGCAAAGCATGCAGGATGATGTCATTCCTTTAGGCATTCACATTGGCCAAAACAACTCCCAGAACCTCTACGGCTGGGGGCATACACACTGACCAATGCAACGGCCACACTCACGTCGAACGGCTCCTGTAGGCAGGCCACGTTGGCAATGGCGTCGACGACCTCGCGAGCACCCTCCGGCGTTGACACCAGCGACAGGCAGCTGAGCAGCTTCATGAAGTGTGGGAACTCGTCACTGCTGACCGTCGGGAAGGCTTTCTTGACGGCGTTGAGCGTGTAGCGTTCCACTGGCTCCTTGCCGGAGATAAGGGACGGCGAGAGAGCCACCACATTCTGAGACAGGAATCGCAGTGACTTGTCACGGCACGCTTCGTCATGATTGTTATTAATTTGGAAGAACAGTCCGGCCAAAGTGCCTGAAATGTAATCACACGAACAGAGCAGAGTACGAGACGAAATGTGATTGTGCGCTCTCCATCCAAACGGCAGACTATGACAATCACAACACGTTCCATAAGCACGGCAGCTTTGATTGCTTGAAACTCCAGATCTAGCAAACAGTCACGGGGACACAGTCGTATGCATGAATGCACGCACAGACACACAAGCACATATTCCCCTCCACCCCCCCCCACACACACACAACCATCATCCTTACCACACGTGTCCTTCTTCAGCAGTGCCTCCAGTGACCGCTTCACCGCCCGCAACTCTCCTTCATCTTCTGTCAACGAGCACAGGCGACAAGCAGAACACACGTACAAGTTATCGATAAAAATATTCATTTTGCTTTTAAGACTCATCCGAGGTGTTTCCGTAGGTTACTATGGACTATGAAATAATCCTCGCAAAAGCCCTGAAATGGCATCGCGCATATTTCAGACAGGCGGCCCCGATTCCACAAAATAAGGTACAGAGCATGTCAGATTTACAATCAAGTGGGTTCTAAAGATCAAAGCCGTTCACAACTGATTGAGGTATATGCTACAAGTACAATTTACAGGGCTGCAGATACTGGTCTGGCCATGGATGGACTTCAAAGGATGTAGGTTTTGCTCAGGCTGCCTGTTAGGGCGCGTTCAGACTACCGTGAACCCCGTCAAACCGTGAATGCCGATAAACCGTGAAGGACATTCACACTACCGATAACAAACTAACGTGACCGTGAAGTTTTCAGCTCTCACCGCGGCACTGACAAGGGATTTTCCCTTTTTTTCGCAGCGCGCATGCAGCCTGAGCACTTTTTTATTGCCGGTAAAAGTTTACTGCCGCATCAGCCGCGGCAGTAAAACTTTCCCACCGGTAACGTGCCAGTAACGTCACGTGATCAAATCAACTTGGCGACTTTCCCTATCGGTCACTTTTTATCGGTAGTCTGAACGCGCCCTTACAGTTGCCCCTGGGGACAGGGCCGATTTACACACCCTCGCACACGGCATCGCTCGTTTGGGCTGCGCCTAGCGCCAGCAGGCTGATGCAGCGATCCCGACTTGCACCGGCCACGGATCATGTAGAACTTCCAAATGCGGGGTGGAAACACACGTCGTTTCGGCTACTCTGATCTCGGGCGGTCTCCCTGGATGCTACGACCCCCCGGACACCACTAACCAGCAATCAGGAGCTGAGACAGAATGTCACTTAGGGATGAGTTGTCACCGTGCTCTCGGCACACGTTGGGCATGTGCTGAATGGCCAGTTTGCGAATCTACAAAGGCAGGTCACAAGCATGCAAGCACACACACACACACACACACACACGTGGGCGCGTGCACACGCACACACACACACACACACGCACGTGCACGCACACACACACACACGTGCGCGCACACGCACACACCGCATGCACAAGTGCGAAGCAATTCCTGAAAATGGAACATTCCAAATAAGTAAAACTGAATAGAGCGGTTGTCAGTTGACAAACCCTCTTTTATTTAAATTGAAGAAAAAAAACGCAAAACCCTTCAAGAATGGACTCGGATGGAGAGCCAAGGATAAATTTAAGAAAAAAGGGACCAAGCGTGATGGAGAGCCAAGGATAAATTTATAGCAAAGAAAAAAAAGGACCAAGCGTAATTTGTAATTTCTTGGTCCTTTAATAATAAAAACCCTTCAACTTGTGGCAAACAGCAAGAGAGCAGTAACATACCGATACGTCTTCATCCTCACACAAGTCAATAAGAGACTCGATCGCCTTCTCGCTCAGCTCTGGGAAGCTTGGAAAGAACTTGGTGATGAAGCCGGCAGACAGCTTGCGCGCACCAGCATCACCCTTCACGCCCTGTAGCATCTGCTGGTAGATGTCGGCATGCTGAGCATGTATGTTCGTGCATACGTGCGCGTGCACACACACATGCGCACACACATAAACACATACACGCGTGCACACACACATAACACACACCCACGCGCACATACACATACATGCGTGCACGCACATGTACATACACACACACATACATACACGCACACGCGCGCGCGCGCGTACAAACAGAGATACAAACACACCTTAGATGCCCGTCGCCAGAGGCGATGATAGTGATGCTAAGCAAAAGCCATTAAAACTTGTGCCAGGATTGCACCCATCAACAGCTTGCAAGGTCGAAGACCACAAAAAGGCCTGAACGTGATACATCACAGCCAAGCTGGAGTCATGACAAAGCCGACTCGGATCCACGCACACGCACACACACACTTAGACATGCCCTTCGCGGAAGCGATGATAGTGAACAGCTCTGTTAGACATAACAACTTGTGCTGGGATTACACCATTCAGCAGCTTGCAAGGCTGATGAATTGACCGCCACTAAGTTTTAGCCACCTACACATCCGATTGAAGTGGCTTTTTTCTGGCCAGTGAATCCCTGTTTTTCATTCCTTCTTCTTTTTTGACGCGCGCACACCAAATCCTCCAGCATGCACTGGCTGTTGGTAACCACCCAGGAGCGCAATACACTGTAAATATACACAACAGAACAACAAGGACAATCAAGGCTTGTTTGCTGCTACTTCAAGTTTCATGCTTACGCAATCATCAGGCAACATCTTGAAACTTGAAGTAGCAGCAAACAAGCCTTGATTGTCCTTGTTGTTCTGTTGTGTATTACGCTCTGCCTTTGTGGTGTTGAGCACTGTCAAGCACTCTGGGTACATCCTTCGGTATACTGTAAAACATGTAATTTTAGGTGCATTAAAATGTCGGTGCCAGGAACCTGCCAGGTTTCAGGTGTAATGTAGAATTAGGTGACCAGCATTCCCTTCACATACAGTGTAGCAGAACATTTTCGGACGGAAATATTGTTGGACAAAGCCTGGTTTCTCCACCGAAATCAAAGTTACACCGAAAATTACATGGTTTACAGTACCAGTAATCTATCTACTTGGTAGAATGTACCTGTCTGGCAGATAGAATTATGTATCTATGTGTGTTTTTAGAGCTAAAGTTTCTTTTTTCCAAACAAAAAAATTAGGAACGAGAGGGCTTGAAAGTCGAGGAGCCCTCACTATGCTTTGTTTTTACCCAGGTCGTCATGTGTGTTGTTCGAACCGCTAGAAACGTCTTTGCAATACGATCATCGGGCACATGCTTTTGTATTGCAAAGACGTTTCTATCAGTTCGCGGATAACACACATGATGCCCTAGGTAAAAACAAAGCATAGCGAGGGCTCCTGGCCTTTCAAGCCCTCTCGTTAGGTTTATACGGTTCTGACCTATCGCTTAACTGTACAATGAGCCCGTTATCGTACTTTCTGACTGCTTATTATCTTGCTACAGTTGTAGACAGTTACTTCATAACTCGCAACCATGTGTTCTCTTTTATTTTACATCTATCATTGGCTCAGTTCCGAATGAACAACCGTCAATAAAAAAAGAGGTATGGAAAATATTAGGGGTGAAACGATTAGTTCGAATATTCGAGTATTCGTTCGAAATTTTCAAACGAGCGAGTATTCGAAATTTTGCACTCGATCGTTTTTTTTTTTTTTTTTTTTTTTTTTTTTTTTTTTTTAGTATTGGCATTCTATTTTTCAAAAACTTCTGTGGTGCCGCTCATTGACCGGTATGCATGCCTTTGAGTCAGTATTTTATGACTTGGACGATGCGATTACCACGGCAAGTAACGTTAGTTTGTTATGAGATAATGAAAGTACTGGCGAAAATCGTTACTCTACACTCTGTACAAGACGTTGGCGACTTTTGTTCTATGTTCACAGATAATTTCTTCCGAATTGGTCGAGAACTCACAAATCTAGCGCTTTTGAATTTTGATAAAATACTCGAAATAATCGGATACTCGATCGAATATTATGAATGAGTGATCGGTTGGTCAAAATAGATACTCGTTTCACCCCTAGAAAATATGAAAGTTGCGGATACGACCATGCAACATAATTACGTCTAGAGTTTAAAATGATCAGCACACGAAGAAGAGAAGCCATAATTATAGTTTCGACTAGGCTTTGCGTGGCATTACTTTTTAAGTCGAATACAATGGTGATTAACAAGGTAGCAAGTATGTCCCTATAACCGACACTAGAACCGTAAAGTACCGTTGATCCGCCCCCTGTCGATTTTCTAGCTGTGAAGCGACTTCGGCGTATACAACGAAAATATGATGTTGAACCGACGCATGCACTGCTGTACACAACACTTGCCAATCCAGGATGAAAATGTGCACAATCCAGCACATCGAGTCTGAACTTCTACGTTGTTGTACATCGTACTGCACTTGACAGCCTTGATCTAATTCCCGCCCCCTGCCGAAAACCCAGCTGGGAAGCGACATGGCGTGGGGGGGGGGGGGGGGGGCGGATCTACGGTACTTTACGGTAATAGGAACGATGAAAAATATAAACATGCATCGAACTAGCTTTCGCACAGCGCTCAGGAATCATCGTTGTACTAATCAACAAATTGCAACACAGATTACTATAAAGGATCAATAGTGATTTTATAACACCTAAACAATGGCAAAAAAGCTAGTTCGATGCATGTTTATATGTTTTCATCGTTCCTATTATTGTTTTTCACATTACATTTCCGTCACAGTCACTATAACCGATGCAATAATAATGTAATAAAGGTCTTTTGAAATAAGAATTTGATCACTATAGGCGATATATTACTATAGACGATTATTACTATACGCGATAACTGTGTATACTTAGTTATGGCAAATGAAAATGAATTTGAGAAATTGATCACTATACCCGGTATATTACTATAGCCGCCAACCTTATAGGCGATACGAACTGTACCCTCAAAACTAGTCAAGATATTTTAGTATGAATACTTTCTCTCAGCACTGCCCCGCAAATTTTAAAAAATTCAATAACAATGACGACGTCTCGGCAAATTACGATTATCATTCTGCACTGGTGTACAATGTATGTGTATGTCAAAAATGGACTCGCTTTTATCACGGCCAGTGTTGCGATTGCTGACAAAAAATACACCTGATTGCCCGCCATGCACCAAACAAAATCATCAATGTGAGCGACATTCAAAATTTTCCTGCTCACCTACCTCGTTGATAGTCTCGCCAGCATCGTCTAACAAAGCATACCATCTGTAAAGGTCTTGGATACTGGCCATACTGACTGGCTACGCCGCGAAACCCTTCTAATTATATTCAAGCAATTTCGCCCAGCAAACAGCCGAAAAGAATACCAAAATTGCAAACCAGACCAGACTGATGAAAATTGAAATGAATACTAATTTCCCAAGTGTGCAACAAAAGCTACAGTCGACTACAAAAAAAAGTCATTGGTTTGTTTGTTTTTTGGGTTTTTTAAACTTTTTTTCATGTACATGTACATGTACAATGCATTTCAAAACGCGTAGGGTTTTTGAAATAATATTTCAAATTTGGCTGGAACTTTTTGAGAATAGTTTTCGGAATATTGCTCAGGATCGCTCCACATTTACTCTCATAGTTTCTAAAGGATTGGATAACAGACGCCCAATTTGGAAAAATTTATGCACAAAGTGATCACAGATTTTATGTGGTACTAGCAGCACCCCAGGCCAGCGTTGCCTGGCCGAATGTGGCATGCGGGTGAAGCAAGTACATGGACAGCACACTTGCTCAGCACGTGGTGGTGGCCAGACCGCTGAAGTCCTGGTGAGGAAGGTTCTTCATGGTTGGAAGGAGAAGGAGGGACGTCTGTTACGCCTTCGGGAGGCTGGTCAGGGTTGTCCAACACCTGGTGGCGGATGAAGCGGCTCAAAAAATTCATAAACTAATTACTTACGAACAAAAGTGCGATGCGCTCTTCACTGCAGACCAGATGCAGAGTGCAGTCAGTGCAGATCTTTTGTATCCTTTTGTTGCAGATGTTTCTATTTGCAGAGAACGATTCACGTGGTCCGCAGCGCTTGTGCGGCTGCTAGTGCTACCTATGGCCTAGGCTAGGTGGCTACATGATTCGCACGCTTCGCGTGCTCAGTGCTTCTGCGCGCGGCTGCTACTGCTACTCGTACTGATCGTGTCTGCTATATATAAGCGCTACCATGGTACCACCTACACACTGTTCGCACGCTTCGCGTGCTCAGCACGTGGTGGTGGCTACACGATTCGAACGCTTCGCGCGCTCAGTGCTTCTGTGGCTGCTTCCGCTAGCTACTAGGCCTCCGCGGAATATGCTCGTATTTTTACCGATAATTCCTTTGAGCATTGCTCAAAATTTCGACCGATTATTCCCGTAATTCCACCAATAATTCTCAAAATAATGCTTTTTTCTTCCCTTTTTTCGCAGATACCGTACCGCGTACGGGTTTTTTCCCACTTGTACGGGCAAAAAAATCACGGTTCGTGTGAAACTCGGGTGAATGCTTTTTTTTTCTTTCTTTTTTGAAATACCGGGCGATCAACTTCAGGATCACAAGCTTTTTGGTACAAATCACCGCGTTATAAATGGAAAAAAATTGAAAAAGGGGGGCATTGCTCAAATTTTACTGATTATTCCACAAAAATTGCCAATAATTCCCGTTTTAAAAATCACACCGAAAATTCCCGAAATTATGCCGGCACATTCCGCGGAGGCCTACTAGCTACACGATTCGCACGCTTCGCGTGCTCAGTGCTTCTGCGGCCGCGCTAGCTACACTGTGCTACACTGTTCGCACGCTTCGCGTGCTCAGGGCAGCGCTGCTCCGCAGCGCTTCAGCGTGACACAAAAACACACGTCACAGGTGCCTCTTCTTTATAAGGAGCGTGACACACACACACACACACACACACACACGTCACAGGTGCCTCTCTTTAAAGATAGATGCTGGCATAACGGTTTTTGCTTGTAGGTACGCGTCTATAGTTTTGAAATGGACTGTAGTTGCATACAGTACTCAGCATAGATCTAGAGGTTGACAGCCGTGGCCATGGTATAGATCTAGAGGTCGAGAGTCGTAAAATACCGCTATTTTACGACTCCGAGGGCACATGCAGCCCGGGCCCAAGCCGGCCCTAGCTAGCCCTGGCTTGATTTTTGCCAGCACCTCCAAAAAGTCACGTGGTTTCGATCGGCGCCTAGCGCATAGCGCCTAGCGCCTCCTTATCGGCTTCTTTTTATTTTTTTTATTTACTTGAAAAAGCACATAACCACCGTACCAGGAAGCTGACAAAGAAAAAAGAGTAAGAAAAAAACAGATAAAAAGAGAGCTGGGCCATGGGAGAGAGAGAGAGTTGGGGTACGGTTAGGGGAGGACGAGATATTGAATGGTGGTCGCCACAGTCACAGATAGTAGCAGTGCTGGTGAGGCTACAGGCACTCCACTGACCATTAGGTCTCAGTATCGCCATGCCGGTAACGCACCAAGAGACAAAAACGGAAGAAAATCTGAAGCGCAATACATGAATGGTAATTACAATATAGGTAATAGGGAGAGTGGTGACCAAGAGAGGACAGTATAGACCGTTAGTATGGGGTGCTTCAATGCACATCCCCAAACCGAGAGGTGCGATCTGGAAAGAACAGTGAGACGATCAACATGATGGGCTTCAAAGCACGTCCCAAGACCATGGCTGGTCTGAGATGTGTTTGTTGACACCTTTTTTAAAAGCTGTGAGTGGAGAGTGATTGGCCAGACGGGGAAAGACGTCCTCGGGGAGGCTGTTCCACAATTCAAGGAAACAGTACGGGAAGGAACGTCGAAGGTAATCGGGACTGGTGCCGGGGGTGGTGTTTAAGAGCTGTTCCCGGTGCTGGCGCTGAGCATAATGCTGCTGGCGGGTTCGAACAGTATCGCCGCGGAATAAGAGAGAGGGGGGGGGCGGAAATAAGGAGAGATGAAGTGTAGACAAAAGCGAATCAACCTCATCATATCAGGGCTACACAAAAAGCAATGGAATGGGATTAAACTATAATTCTACAAAAATTACTATGCGGCATCATATAAATATTGCAAAACACGTTTCCTATTCTTCAGTCCCTATACCACAGAAGGAGATCAGGCGGGAGCTGGTTCCACAGGACTGCGCCGATGAACTGCATAGTCGCTCGACCCGCAGAACAGGGCCAAAATGATACTTGTAGTAGGTGATGAGCTGCTCCCCGAGCGCCGTCACCAGTAGCCCTGAAAAAGAAGCTGGTGAAGAGAGAGCTAGCTCGAGAGAACAGACAACGACGGACAAAGACAAGGAGCTTGATGTTAAACATATCCTCCAGGATGGTGAGGCGGAGCTGTTGAAAGATCGGGCTCGTGCACGACCATGGTGGCAGACAGAAGAAGCCGCGGATAGCGCACTTCGTTATTATTATTATTATTATTCAAAGTATCAGTCGGGGAAGTGAACTGCCTGAAAAGAGGAAAAAACGCCAGACCCACCAGGACTCGAACCTGGGACCCTGCTTGTCATGAGCAATGCTCTAACCACTGAGCTATGGGACCAGGCTGAACCTAGAAGGCGCTGACAAGTTTTTCACTCCAAAGGCAGCTCACAACACGTGCCACACATACTGATGGCACTTGGGTCTTTTTCCCTCCCCCAGGGGACCAACCACGGTCAGTTTCTGGAAACTACCAGAGGTGAAAGAATGTGATTAAATTTGGAAAGGATTGGGAGAACTTCAAATTCAAAGTATCAGTCGGGGAAGTGAACTGCCTGAAAAGAGAAAAAAACGCCAGACCCACCAGGACTCGAACCTGGGACCCTGCTTGTCATGAGCAATGCTCTAACCACTGAGCTATGGGACCAGGCTGAACCTAGAAGGCGCTGACAAGTTTTTCACTCCAAAGGCAGCTCACAACACGTGCCACACATACTGATGGCACTTGGGTCTTTTTCCCTCCCCCAGGGGACCAACCACGGTCAGTTTCTGGAAACTACCACGTCTAGGTTCAGCCTGGTCCCATAGCTCAGTGGTTAGAGCATTGCTCATGACAAGCAGGGTCCCAGGTTCGAGTCCTGGTGGGTCTGGCGCTTTTTTCTCTTTTCAGGCAGTTCACTTCCCCGACTGATACTTTGAATTTGAAGTTCTCCCAATCCTTTCCAAATTATTATTATTATTATTATTATTGTTGAACGGTCTCTGCTGGGATGACGACTACACCATAGCTCAGTGGTTAGAGCATCGCTGGCTACAAGCGAGGGTCCCTGGTTCGAGTCCTGGTGGTGACAGTCAATTTTTTCTTCAGATTTTTCCCGTTGTCTCTTTCCCTCAAACCAGTTAATATGTTATGACTTGGGGCTCCCCGCGTGCTAGTTTGTACGTGAAGTGTGTGGGTACAGTGAGGGCTGCGTCCCACCCGCCTGTGTGGATTCACAGGAAGTGTGAGTTACGAAGTCTGAAGAGAATGTTGAACGGTCTCTGCTGGGATGACGACTACACCATAGCTCAGTGGTTAGAGCATCGCTGGCTACAAGCGAGGGTCCCTGGTTCGAGTCCTGGTGGTGACAGTCAATTTTTTCTTCAGATTTTTCCCGTTGTCTCTTTCCCTCAAACCAGTTAATATGTTATGACTTGGGGCTCCCCGCGTGCTAGTTTGTACGTGAAGTGTGTGGGTACAGTGAGGGCTGCGTCCCACCCGCCTGTGTGGATTCACAGGAAGTGTGAGTTACGAAGTCTGAAGAGAATGTTGAACGGTCTCTGCTGGGATGACGACTACACCATAGCTCAGTGGTTAGAGCATCGCTGGCTACAAGCGAGGGTCCCTGGTTCGAGTCCTGGTGGTGACAGTCAATTTTTTCTTCAGATTTTTCCCGTTGTCTCTTTCCCTCAAACCAGTTAATATTATTATTATTATTATTATTATTATTCAATACGAAGTAGTGGTTGCGACTTCGGCGATGATTTGTAAGAAAGGTCTGTCTCACCGTCCAGGAGCGACACTGACTCACGCTGCTATCTGGTGTTCACGAGGTGTTTATCGCGCTGGAAGCGGAGCGTCTCTGTAAGTTTGTATCCCTGGTGATGTTTGTGCCTGGAGAGCACTATATAAGTGGTGCTCTTCAGGCACAATCTTCCTCAGCCTACTCAAGCTCAACTGATGAGGGGTGAATTCCCCGAAACACTGTGTATTGAGCAGGGAGTGGTGCTTTCTTGCAGGTTTGCCGAGTCGAAGGTTCGATGGACTTCTCGTGTGCTCTGGATGGCAGTCGTGAGTCAGTCAAGTGTCAAGTAAAGTCGGCGGAATAGCGCGAGCTCCGGTGTGGGGAGCAAACCTTTCTTATTATTATTATTCAACGTAATAAATAGAGTAAGCTGCGCACTCAGT